TCAGAGGCAGCAGCCGGTGTCGCTCCCAAAGCGCCAGGACAGAAATACCAGCACGAGGCCCACGTACAGTTTTATCCAGATGCAAATCTTATATCCTATATGCTAAAAGAGAAGCACTGAAAACCTAACGCACAGAAAAGGAGCCTTTGAAATACTGCACTGAAGCGATGCGTGTTCTGAAAATACACTACAACGACAAGTCATCTTAAAAACTGACTCCAAATTCACCTGCACTTCCACAGTTTAGAAAGACTCCGCAAGCTTCAAATCCAATTCTGATTTTGCAGTTTCTGTAAATACCTTCATGACTGCAATAATCTCTTCTGCTCTTTGCTTGTTTTCAGAGTATCTCCAATTTCAGGTCATGCAAATCCACCCTTCTCCCTGCCCCAGGCGCAGGCATTTTAAAAATATCTTCCACATTTTGAAACTCTTACACATTTACCTATAATCTAACCAGAGCTCTCAGGATTCTTGGGGCCAGGAATGGAAATAGATAAAAATCACTATTTTCTTATTTCCTACAGAAGTCTTGGTTATCACACTCCGCTGTAGTGATTTTCAAATCACTTTCAAATCACAAAATTAGTGATTTTGAAATCACAAATTCATCTTACTAAGTAACTTGCAACTAGAAGGTTGCTTCTGAAGGGGTGATACTTTCCCCATCTAGCCTCACGGGGCAATAGAAATTGGGCTCCAGACAGGTCTCTCTGTCCCACTGTCTTGGGAAAGCCTCATTCTTTGCAGTTCTTTTTTCAAGCCAGCACTGATATTGCATAAGACAGTGCCATGAGATTTCCAGGCATCAAGGATACACTCCCAAACCCTACACACAAAAACGAGCAGCAGCATCATGCACATGCAGCTGGCTTGCAGAACACGACACTTGTGAATTAATCAAAGGTTCCTATTCTGTGCATCTATTTGAGCCTGTTTTGTAAATAAAAGACAGGCCAGCCTATTAATATGATCATGCAGTCTATACCTTCCTCATCTCTAAATGTAGATTTAGAGATGCACTTCTACCCCACAAACACACTTTTTATAATGCAGTTTATTTCAGATCCACCAGATGCTCATTTTGTTCCCAAAACAGATTTAATGGGTTTTCTGTGTTCTAAACACCTGGCGAGAAGTTCCATGAAGCTTTAGTATTTTCCTAACCCTAGGTTAAATTTGTCTTAGTGTTCCATATAGGATAATTCTGCAGCCATGTCAACTATTCAGGTAATGCTAGAATGTCGTCATTATGGTTTGGGTCAACAGCATGATCTGTATGTACATTGTAATCATTCTGGTGTTGGGTTGCAAAGGTCCCTAGACTCTTCATTTGGCTGAGGCTAAATCCGTCCTCTTCACAAAGATCTAGAGTTACACTAAGTAAAGGCTGACATTTACACGAGACACTAAGGCTGCTAGAGTGACTCACCAAGGTAAAAGCTAGGCTCTATGTTCTTTCAAGGGCGTAAGCCACAACAGTGCCAGCGTTTCTGCTAACCTGCTCTAGAAGGTCTTTGTGCTTGGCAAGGTAGACGTGCACCGAGTGGCACATCACGCACAGGGCTTTCCCTGAGCAGCCTCTCTGCCTCTTGAAGAGCATCTAAGGAGGGTGAACACAGAAGATTAGAGCAAGAAGGCAGCAATCATTCATAGTGTAAAGAAAAGATGATATGCCAGAGAGAAATTAGTTGCCTTTGGATGACCTTTTAGTGTTATCTTGGAAGCTGAAACTCCCTTTTTCACTAGGTTGGATAGCCACAGTTCTACCTGGTAGGGAGCATTACATACAGGCTCATAGAGAAGACGTCTCTGCTGCCGCCACACTGAGCACATCTTGCTCTCCTGGCTTCCAAGCTTCCTCCCCACCAGTGCCATTAGGTCTAAATCTAAACTAGGCAGCTTCTGACTAAAAACAGTGACTGTCTAGGTGACTAAATTTGTAGCATTTTATCTATTCCCATGAATTCTTCTTTATCCAAGTCTACCCTTGACAAGCATCAGGCCAAGTCCAAAGTGAAAGGACCACAGAAGGGCAGCTATGTAGAGACAGACTTCCCAGTGATTGGGTCTCCTCTCAGTTCAGCCGGGAAGATCCCACTTTGGCAGGAGAATGAGCCCAGCCTTCCCAGAGCACCAGCAACTGCAGCATCACAGACACAGCTCCTTGTACTCACCGTGTGAGCACTGATTGCTTTATGCAGTGCGTGGCATCAGGCCAGGTTGTAGGTTTTGACAGCAGTCATCCTTAGCCATGGCCTCTGCCACGTCTGAAGGTCTTTTAACTGCAATCTTTGCACAAGGAGCACAAGGAAGTTTAGATAATGTTGTTCTAATTGTGCTCAGGATTTTTTTTTTTAATTGGACAGATGTCAATCTTGACAATTCCTTTCAAATCTGCATGTGTCTGATTTTCACACACATAAAAACCCACATTTTTTACTTTGGAGAAAAACAAAAGCTAGCACATCGTGGAACTCCTGAAAAATGACTGCACTGACAATTACATGGTAGACTGACCGCCAACGGGAGACAACGCCTACAACGTTCCCAGGGATCTATGGTGAAGTGAAGCCAGGATGAGTTTGCAGTGGGAACCCAGGGCAACTCACTAACATTGTCTTCCTGGTCTCTCCTCCCACACCCAAGAACTTGGATTATCCAGCAGTCCTTGCATCACAGCCCAGCCTTATTGATAGCCATGTGATACAACCTTGGCTAGAAGCCATCCTTGAACTGCTTGAGAGATGCTTATAATTCAAGAGCAACAGATTGAAATAGGAAGGTTGCAAGTGGTCAAAGTACGTGTCTAATTGCTTCGCTGGACCCAGGCCAATACGTTAACCTTACGTATTGCAGGCTTGGACTAGACACATAGCGACAAGCTCTCATCAGACACGTCTGAATGCCTCCAAGCAGCCCCTTTGTCCCATGTGGCTTCCCGCAGTGGTCAGAGTTATACCAGTCAAAACCAACAAGAATGCAAAATATCCTTCCTTGTAATTGGTTATGACTCTTAGTGACAGAGAGCAGGAGAAGGGAGAGAACAGATCTTAAACAAAATTGAATCAAGTGGCTACGTAAAGCCTCTGAAGAGCTCAGAGGCTTACATTGATCTGGTAGGACAAGTTGGGTGCTTTTGTAGCCTACTGACCTATTAGAGGTACCAAAATCCTAGTCTGTCAAGGGAAACACAGACGAAATCAGCAAACCTTTTATCGCTGTGATGTAATGAGATAGCATAGCTACTTTTTAACGTTAATCCGATGTGCTCCGTTCCTTACAAGGGAAGGACCTGGTATTAGTTTTACAAGGTACTGTTTTCACTTCATCTAATGCAGCAAGGATTTTCATTACACTCTTCCACAAAAAATGCATTAAAACCTTAACTCAACCATGCAGCCAGTTTTCACAGGTGACCTCTCTCTTACAGTCCACATCAGTGATTTTGGTTAAATGTTCTCATGCTCTGGAGGTGACTTTAGCCTACTTGCAATTACTAGGGATGCTACTATCCACTTTTGCACATAACCGTTCATTCCCCAGTCAGCATATTCACAAAACAACCTTCACTGCACGCTAAGGAAAAGGAGGTAGCTCTAAACACACTGATTTATGTTTGTCTCTCCAGGTTCATAGAGGGAATCTGAAGGCTCGGTCTCCTTGCAAGTCTCCACATCCTGGCAGGACAGAGGAATGTCACAGTAAGTGCAAAGGCTCTTGGGTCAAGTACATTCAACCTGCTGAAGTCTCTGTCTCCATCCTGCCATGTTTATTTTTCCCCCCACACCAGGAAAAAGCGGAAAGCCACCAGTGTTCTGCTGACCATTGGTTCCTCAGCCAATGAAGTCCCTAGCAGCCGCTCAGCCCACCAGAGTCACACCACTTTAATTCAGCCGTTATCTATTGACCCTCAAAGAGTAGGTTACACATTTTTTAAATTGTTATTTTTAGTATTTTAGAAATCTTTTGTAAGGATCAGCTTGAGCACATCTTCAGCAAGTCACCAAGAGGCAAGAGTTATCATGGATATCAAAATTTGGATTCTCCCTCCTGGAAAAGGGCCTTCTGGCTTGGGATATTTTCCAGCCCAAGTTGCTAAGAGAATTGAGGGGTCAGGGAAATAGGGCTAGAAATAATTAAGTAGCTGCCACACAACTTAGCCATTTACCAGCCTCCTCCAAAGATTCACTTTGGCCACATAATTGGTTTTGAACAGTTATTTGGTCAAGAGTTGGGAAACTCAAACTATCTAAGAACAGACTTCCATTTTATCTCATGTAGGGAGGGAAAGAGCTGATAACTTGGGCTATTTTGGAAAGACAGATTATAGAAAAGACCATGACTACAGCAAAACAAACCCAGGCACTTCAATTGCACATTTTTACACAAAACAATGTCTGAAAGCTAAATGAGATGGGCAAGAGCATACATCAACACTCCACCATGCAGAAAGGACTATTTTGTTCTGCAAAGATTTGATAGCCTTAAAACTGACATTCTTGATTAAGCAGAGACCTTACTCCAATTTCTACATCAAATAAGCTTCAAGCAGGATCAGGACAGACCAAAGTTCCTTTTCCTTTCTCTACATTCAGCCCCACTGTAGATACACATGTAACACAAGACAAGGAGAACTAGACCTGGTTCCAAGTAAACCAGGCAGAAACCTCTGTAGAAGACAACAGCTACAGGAAAGCAACATTAAGCTCTACAGAGAGACTACAAGATGTGAATTGGCTTTTATGCCCTGTATGACCAGCAACACTTACAGGTTATCAGCTCTTCTTTCCACCGACTTGTTGCTCATAGTCCAGTAAAACATTTTCTCTTGGAGCACTTGAAAGGAGATTCTCCCCAGGTTTTATGATAGGTTGGTGCATGGAAACCAGAGAAAATATTCTGGCATCTTCCCCTGTTTCAAAGAAGTGTCAGCAATACCACTGGGTTTCTGCATGTGAGAAATGCAAGCTATAAAATCACTTTTCTTTGCTATGTAGATGCAGAGTCCCTCTACGAGCCAGACAGGGTCTTCCTATGGAACCACACCTGTGTTCACAAAGGTAAAAAACAAATTTGGCTGAAAAACATGGCTTCTTCCTGTGACTTCAACCCTGGCATTACGCTGAGCTTTATTCTTCCTTTAGAAAACCCCTCGCGGGTGGCTCATTTACATCTCAAAAGCCCAAGACACTTCATTAGGAACACTATCAAATTAGTATCTTAATTGGTAAATGATCCTGACAAACAGAACCGCTCACATGAAATCATCTAATTAATTTGGTACAAAGAAGGTTAAAGTGGAACCTCCCATGGTAGTCTCCTTTATTTTATGCCATCCACTAGAATTAGGTGTTTTTCCTGCATTCTCATTTTGATTTGAATGCACAAGCAAGCTAAAGCTTTTAAATGAGCATTGGCCTATGGGTGGAAAAAGAAATTTGCACTCAATCCACTTCAAATATACCTAGAAGCAAATCAATTATTTTAAGTAAAATAGAGTCATGACATCATCTTATTCACTAAAGAGTGCTTGATTGCCTAAGCTTGTCCCCATTCAAGCAATTACCACGTCAGCCATTTCACATCATTTTCTCCTCCTCCAGGGTCTACAAAACATCAGAGCTACGAAGGGTCAGTTAGTGGTATTTGAATGTCGCATTCGCGCCACACCAACCTTACAGGTTCACTGGTACAGAGAATATGACCCAATAATAGATTCTGCAGATTTCCGAATACTGCGGAAAAGTAGGTATCGCTCTGCCTCTCTAGTGCACATTAATTTTATCGGGATAGCAACAAGGGCTGCCATAACAATTAGAGAGCAGTACACATTCCTAGAGATGGAGTTGGGTTTAGAAGTCAAATGATCGGCCCTTGCTCACTGCCATGTGGATCCTGTCCCTTCTCTAGGGGCACATGGGCAGAGCAGGCTCTGTGGGAAGGGGCTGCAAGGGTCATAGTTGCTTGGGCTGAGCCATGAAGCCACTGTCACAACATGCTGTAGCTACTGCTCAATTTAAGCATCTTCTATATGGCCTTGGTGGAGAGGGGTTTGTCCCATGAGGTTTCGGTCAAATCTGACCTTTCCTCAGCAGAAGTTCAGGTGAACTTGAAGATTCCTTCTGATGGACATGGAAATGGGTCTTTTTGTAACCAGATGAGGTGGGCGAGTGAATGGGGGCTAAAGGTTTTTCTTCCATTTTGGCTTTTATAAGCATTTAATTATTTTCTCTCTTACTTTGACCAGAGGCTTGCTCATCAGCACTCCCTGGTAAGTACATCACACCTCTTTGCTAGACATCGCCTCGGTTAGTTTACCCCAAGCTTAGTTTTCACCCTCACCTAACCCGAGATAAAATGGCATTGCTGAAAGGGACACATGCCATGTCCAGCATCCCACTAACAGCTTTCAGGTACTTGGTTTTGACAAAAACTCCTGAAAAGCCCTGGTTTATTTAGCAGGGTCCCTTTTCAGCCAGAGGGCAGCCTATGTGTTATGAGACCCTGGAAATCATCATACTAATCTGTGGGCTCTTCTGGGTTGTTGTCCTTAAACTCACAGGCAGAAAAATCCTTCCCTCATCTTAGCTCCCTCCAAATTACCTCCTGGGCTCTTCACACCACTTCTTGCCATCAAGCTGCATGACTAACAGCCCCATCTGCAAGGACCGGGTCCCACGGGGGAACATTTGATCCTTACAGCGCATCTCCACTGTTGTTCCAGAGGAAGTCTGCACACTGGTTATCACCGAAGCTTTCCCAGAAGACTCCGGGATATTTAAATGCGTGGCTGAGAATGAGTTTGGCTCAGCGGCGTCCAGCGCACGGCTCTCGGTCTCCCCAGGTAAGCACGTAGCTCTCCAAACTGAGCAACTCGGCGCTGTTGGGATGGACGCCTTGTTCATCCCAGCACACAACTCGCCTGCCTCGTGCTCGCAGCCTGCTGCAAACACACGGGCTGACCTGCGTTCAATCCCCTTGGCAGGAGTGAAGGAGCTGGAAAGCTTCGTGGGTGCCACCCCGGTGCCAGTCGCCACCAAGAAACCCACCTTGCCTAGAAGCAGCCAGGTCCCCGCCACGGAGAGGGATGTGGCGGGACCGGCACCCTACAGCAGCGGGCCGGAGAAGCCAGGGCTGGGCCGCCGAGCGGCGCCTGCTGCCACCTTCAGCCGGCCCAGCTCCGGGAGCGAAGCCGAAGACTTTCCTGGTGTTTATGAGAATTCGCCGCAGGCTTCACCTCTGCGGTAAGGCAAATCGGGGGAAAAAAGACATCCATGGGGTGGTTTTAAGGAATAGTTAGAGGATGAGTCTTCCAGTGACCCCAACATCCCAATGAAGTTCTGCCCCTTATCCTACCAAGGGTTCATTAAGAGGGAGAAATCTTCTTTAAGAATGAAGTATCAGCTCTCATAATAGGACCGAGTCCATTTTCTGCCCCAAGTGCAGCTCTCAGGCAGCTATTTACTCACACTGCTATTTAGCTAGTTTAATTATACCAGAGAACCAAAACAAGGTAGGGTTTGCAAGCTTTCCTAGCAATTCTCTAAGTGCAGATCTCTCAAAAGAGGTTCTCTGTTTAACGCCAAGACCTTCCAAAAAACCCAGGCAGCGCAAACACCCAGGGCCTCATGCAAAGCTAAAGCCCTGGCCAAAGGTGTCTTGTCACCTGGTCTAAAGGGGACTCACATGGACCAGAAGACACTGCTGCCCTGTGGAGCTGCAGCAGGTTTGCTCATAACCTGCAATGAAGCTGCACCTGGGCTGTTGTCCTCAATTATCACCAGCCCAGCATGCAAATACTGTGCTGCATTCAAGGAAACTCATGCTCAGCTACTCATGCATGTAGCTCATGCTGAGCTACGTACTTAGCCCCACCTGCCTGGAGATACAGCTGAACTTGCTGGTGAGCATCTACTGCAGCTCAGCACTGCTGAGCTGCTTCTTTTTGGCACTGCAAACAAGGCAGGCTCTTAGCTATCTATCTGGACAGCAAAACTAAACCCTCAAGAGATGTGTTTGAGTGGTTAAAGTTCTGCTTAGTTTGACATGCGGTACCTGACATCTGACATGAAGGGATAAAATCACCAAAATGAGCTATGCAAGAGCTTCTGAGAAATCTGGTTTATATGAAAGTGTTAACTAGTGCAGAGTGTTTTTGATTGACAGTGCTCATGAACCAGATTTGGATGGTATTTACCTCAAGGTAAAGGGAGAAGAGAACTAAATTTTCTAGAAGCACCCACCTCTGAACATTTAGAGATCCTCTATCACAATCCTGATAACATGTGCTTTGAAATATTGTTATGAATGGAATTTAACACTATAAATGCTGCTGTTAATTCAGATTAAGGAAGGGGCAAGTCAATAGTTGCAAGTCTAATGTACAGTAGATTTAGACAGATTTAGGCCTATAACTCTATCAGCCTGGGTGGCCGAAGCCGTAGTAGCAAGACAAAAAGAGATACCAGCAAAGGACACGATGAGAGCTATTACCCCCCACAACTATATAGTGAATGAGGTCCTTGTACTTCTCCAAATTATTGCTTAGCAACAGTCACTCCACAAAAGCTACAAAATGCAATTCTAGAAGTTTGCCGCTTCCAGCTATGCCTTTTTGAGCCTGCTAATTCTGCAGCTTACTGTTCCCCTCTCCCTTTTCTTTAAGGATGCAGAAAAAGCAGCCTGTGCTGGACTCTATACTGACTATTGACTTTAACAAAGCAATTTAATCCAGGCAAAAGGAGAGGCTTCAGGGGCTAAACCTACTGCCAGGTCTTTTTAGAGCAATTTAAGATTACTTGGCAATGAAACAGAAGAGTCTTCAGGCTTTTCTAGCCATTTGTTGCTATATGCTGCAAGCAAAGAGGGAAACCTGAGGAAATGCAACGTGTCATCACTTCTGGAAAGAAAACTGAAGCAGTGCAGAAAAGCTGAACTCTTAACACTTGGCAGGGCTGGTCGGAGCACTATTAAGTGAACTTAACACAAGCTATGAGATTTAATCCTCTATCCTATGAACTTCCAACTCTTCCAATTTTTTTGCCTACTTGGGGGTTCTCACGTTGTCCTGTGCCTTGTCTCTTGTGCATGCAGTCCTAGTTGTGTCCAGCCTTTTAAATAGACCAAGGATGCCTTCCTTGCAGGCCCCTCCAGCTGGGCAGCAAACCTCACCGAGGTCCACAGGAAGCCCCAGGGCTGAACCATCACCTATAGTGCACACAGCTGCCTGCTAGCATAGCCCTTACGTCGCTTTCATTTAACATGCAACACTCACTGCAAATTATTGCAGCATTTTCTGCTTAAGGACCATCAAGCAGCCCCTGCAGACAGGTAGGGTCACACTTCCTCCCTTAATCACTTCCCCTGCAAGGAATTAGAATAAATTAGCACACAATTAAGGGCTGCTATGTAGAATGAGTTCACCAACTGGTGGGCTGATGTTTAAATGCAAGCATTAAATGTGGATTAACTATTAAAGATCACTGTGCAGACAGACTCAGTGCAGCCGAGGGAGGCACCTCAAGGCCACACACGGTCAGAGCCGCTGGACTCGCCAGGTTGTTTTCCAAAGCAATGGGTTACATGTTATGCAAGAGCTTGCAAACTATAATTAAGACACTTAAAACAGTTTAATGCTTAATTAAGACATAAGCACTGAAGTCTTTAATAAAAGGGATACAAACCACTTGATCTGCCAGCACTATCTGTTCCCCTCCTGGTGAAAACAGCATAAGTGGGGCTTTTAATCCAACTAAACAGGTATAATAACACATACAAAAATAGGACATTAAACAGTATTTTCCACTCAAGTATAGCCTTTTGTATGTGTTATTCTATTTATGTCTCTGGTTCTTCAAACACTTACACACCTGTTTAAATTTACCAGCGTAACACCACTGATTTTGATTGTGCCTATTAGTGTAACACAGTAAAATGCAGGATTGGGGCAGCCCAGCCACCAACAGAAACCGTTGTGGGATGAGGGCCTGCTGATTAATCATTGAAGTGTGATTTATAGCTAACTTTCATGTGCCTGCTGCCTTTAAGCAGCCAGTTTGAAAGCAGGCCCAAGTCTTTTTCTCCTATGGATGCAATTAGCTGCAGCCAGCTCTGAAGGAGGAAGGAAGGAAGGAAGGAAGGAATCTCTCCTGAGATGCTCAGCAAGGGATTAGCCAGAAGGGAGCATCTCGGCACATGCAATGGGCCCTCGGTGCCATTCCCCGCAGAGAGGTGGCCAGGGCTGTTGAGGGCCCTTCAGTACTATGGAGGGAGCAGTAGCCCCCATCTTGGTGGTACTGGGACACCAGCACAGTTCAGCCTGGCTGGGAAAGCAGCAGCGCCCTTCACAAGACAAGGGAATCACCAAAAGTGCAGGATTTAACAAACAAAGCTTCACCCACAGACCATACGTGAAGTGACCCAAATAAATAGCGCCAGGGAGGTACAACCCCCCATTGCTGAGCCTAGGAATATTGGAAATGCTCCCAAAGGCACCAAACCATCACCCTGGTGTACCTACAACAAGCCGCAGCCTCCGGCCAGGGCCTTGCTCCCCACCAGGAGGATCCTGCAGCCTCTCCAGAGCTCACAGGGCTCAACAAGAGCTGAGCCCTCCCAGCTGGGAGGCTGCTGGCAGGACAGGATTTATGCAGCCAGCACTGCTGACCACAGACACCTGCAAAAAAAAAACAGAGGCTGTGGCCGTTAAATGAAGTGGCAGCAGGAGGGCCGGGTGCTGGAGACTCTTATTCTGACACTGGTGGAGGCAGGAGGACAGGCAGGTCCTGCTGTCATTAGCTGGCAGCACATTAAAGCCTCCCGTCTTATAATGCTACGCAGAGGGCTACTATGACAGTCCCTCCCCAAAATACTGGTGAAAGCCCAGGTGACAACTTCTAGGCTGTAGGTAAGATGTTTGGGGGATTTTATTTATTTATTTTTGTGCTGCTCTTTATTTCGTATCTAGTTAGCAAGCTGGGGTTGCAGCGCACTGGGTAGCGCAGAGCTGAAAAGCTGCCTTAAGGGTACTCAGTTGTCAAGTAGCATAGGAGGCAAAGAAGATAAAAAAAAAAAATTGATTTTTAGAAGCCAAAGTATGCCTCCTCTTGTACATGCTTTTTATCTTGTAAAGTTAGAAACAGAAATTTCGATGTGTTTTTGTGTTTTCCCTTACTTGGCGGTGGGATGATTTGAGGAAAACATAAGCGATCCCTCAGTGACGAGTGAATCTGTGCGACACGGGGCAATGGGTTTATCTGGCATCTTGATTAACTGCAGTATTTTGGAAAATAAAGGATGGCTTCCAGATGTAGTCTATAGATGAAATGAATGAACCTATATACAGACAGGGATATTAAAAAGGCTTTTAAAACAACATTCAAGCAGGTCTGCACCAGTGAATGAGAAATAGTTTGGATACACTCCAAAAATCTGAGCTGGCTTCAGATTGCAGTGCATGACAAGGAGAAAGTTAGGGAGTTTTTAGTAGAAAACTTCTGCTTACTTAAATCCATTTTCAGCGAATACTGATAAATACCTTTGGAAAATGAAACCTTTGAATCTTTAAAACAAGAGTGATGCCATCAGCTGATCCTCCCTGGGAATTTATGGCCTCCTGGAACCCTCCTTTGGGCTCTCCGATGAAAGGAATACAATATACCGGGTGTATATATAGCAGCAAAACAGCTGATCTCAGTGGGACAAGATTACAATTTTTTCCAGCACATGTAACTGTGTGGATTTATATTCTCATTTATGTTTGTACCTTTTCACTTATTTTAGCGGGAGGCCATTTATTTATTGCAGAGCTGAAGTTATTTGTCAGTTTTTAACAAACTTAATGCAGGTCCCTTTAATTAAACTTTCCTCTTTTATAAAGTGATGAGAAGCCGGGTTTAGGTATCCCTGACCTGCAGAACGCACGCGGCACCTCCGAGCAGCTCTGCTCGTGCTATTTCACCCCACTGCTGTATCATTCCGGCTATTACCAGCCATAAAAACAAACCGCACGCATCGCTGCAAACGGAGAAGTATCGTCCTGGGCATTCCAACTCCTCATCTCCATTGGTTATAGAAAGCTATTAATTCAAAAGTGTTGCAGAAGAAAAAGGGTGTTTTGAGAGAGGTACAAACCTGCAGGGTCCAAAGAGCTTGAACTAGGATGGTATGTGGCAAATGACCTTGCTTAGCTCTCCTATCTAAGGCTGGCTTAGGCTTGGAAAGGTGGTGGTTGCCCCAATGAACCAAGAGCTATTTCTTTTAGCGTTTACTGGGCTCTTCTGGGTTTTATCCCACCACTGCTGGGATAAAACAGCAGTGGTGAACACTGCAGTTGGGTGTTACTTGGTCTATGACTTGTTGCTGTAATCAGAAATGTTCATATAGTTCTGGAATAGGTCCAATCAATCCTGAAATTCTTTATTTTAAGCTTAAGGTTTAATTGTCAGTTGCCTGAACTTTGTGCTCTTTGGGCTGGTAATGACTGCTCACAAATCGGTGTTTTTGCAATTCAGATTGTTCCATACAATTTATTTTATCTGTATTGTCTTCCTTAAGGGAAAATCCACACCAAGACAGCCTCTATTCTGCAAGGCAAGGGTTCCACTCTATCCAGGAGCCCAGCCAGGACAGCTTTTGTGGCCTGTCATCTAATTTTTACCAGCCACCCATCCAAAACCAGTTGTCACCAACAAAAACCCAGGACAGTCGTGAAACCTCTCCTATGAGTGTCCATAACTTCCCATCCGTTTCCTCTATGTACCAACCAACTATGTTTAACTACGAGCGTCCAAAACACTTTATCCAGGCTAAGAATATGTGCCAAGGGCAACAGCAGCCTCCAGGAGCCACAGCCTCTACAGAGTCAAGCAGACAGATCAAACAGTCCTCCATCCTAATACAACCACGTAACCCTAGTGGGCAGAAATTTTCTTCCTCTTCATCGCTGAGCTCTTCAATCACGCTCTCCTCGCCTTCCTGTAGCGCCCCTAAGGAATCCACATACCCCGTCACACCTGCATCTGCGCAGTCTCCTGCTAGCTCATCATCTGGCCACCGGCTTATATCCATGCCTAACCAACCCCCCGCAGCATTCCTGTGCTCAGTGCTACCCTCGCAGCCCGAATTTAACAGCCAAGCTCCTTCTCCTGTGGATCCTCAGTAAGTACCTACATGCTTCTAACTTCCCCTCGCTTTGAATGCGTGGGGGTTGACATGGCCTCTCCCACGCGTTGACCAACCCAACCCAACCCCAACTGCACTGCTGGCTTTGCTGGAGCCAGCGGCATGACTCCCTTCCACTCCTGGTGTGCAAGGCAGGGCTTTGCAGGAGTGAAATGGATGAGGTTAGGAGGCTCAAGGCTCGCTCCTGGCGTCAGCGTGGAAGGACAGGGCTATAAACTGGGGATTAAACTACGCAGCGTCGCTGGCTACACTATGTTGCTGGCTGCTGGGCTTCTGTTTTTGTTGCTTTGAATGGTTTAGCTTGATGTGATTGAGACCCTTTGTGAAAAGGGGATGCAGAGGAGAAGATGGGCATCCATCTTAAAAGAATTTCTGCCAACAGATATGGCTTAGGTTGGGGGAAAAAGTATTTTCCAGATATAAGCACCATGAAAAATCCTAGGCAGTCTCAGCAGTACTTCCAGGCTCCATATCGTGCTTTAAACTTATTTACAATATAGCTTTCATTAATCAAAGGCACCAACGAAAAGGCAGTCACTTGAAAAATTTTACCCCTTCAGACCAAAGACCACATTCTTTCCTGGATATGTATTATATCATTTTGCGTTTGGGCTGCAATCCAAAAATCTTTCAAGGTCAGTGAGATCTCACAGGGAGCTGGGTCTTGCCTTTTCACCACCATTGCTGCCAATGTTAACTGGAGGTCCTGGCTTGCAGGAAATGTTCAACTGGAGCTATTAGAGCCGTGATGAGGGTAGGGGGAGTTCCTGCTCACATGGGTATGAACTTTGGCTTAAATGGCAGTTTGTATTCAGGAAATCTGAATGTTTCTAGGTTTGTGGCTTTTCTTGAAGCACAGTGCTGCAGGGAATGGCAAGGTGATAGTTGAATGAGTGGGTTAGCTCTGACGCCGAGCAGTGTTTCTTAAAAGTACTGCTAATAGAGCAGGACAGTGTGCGAGGGTTAGTATGCAGCTGGAAGAACCGTTGGGTTTTGTGTGTGTAGTGTAGGGCTATTTGCTTTCATTGCAAAGGGCTTTGGTGCTTCCGCACACCTTTCACATGAGCCTCTCTGAATAATCAAACGCAACATCCTGCAAGTCAAGGATTTTGCTAAACAGTTTACAAAAGGGTGAACAGGAAGGTGACACTTAACCTGTTGGCCTGAGCCAGTGCTGGGAATACATACCGGCATTGTAGCTCTTCTGCCCTGTTCCCATCAGCAGAACAAACTCCCAAGCTCCTGAAGGAAGATGATTAGGAACAGAAATAACTGTCTGATACAACCACCAAATACAAACCTTGACTGCAGTTAAAGAATCAGGTTAAATATAGTCAGCAGAGCCCTGTGACCCCTAGTAGATTTTCACAACCCATTTTGAGGGATGCTCCTCGAATCCCTTCAGAAAGTGATTCCTTTCTGAATCAAGTCTACAACTTACCTTATTATCACAGTCAAAACTTCATTGTGTCCCTTGATTAAGGAGTACAGGATATAGTATATGGAGGTATCTACATAGCATAGTCTGCTAAAGAACCAGCCTGGCTTGGGTTATTGCTGATACCCAGAAGTAAATAACTATAAGCTATTTGTTCACACCTAATCAATTAACTTGTCCCTTGACAAACTCATGGCACTTAATGGAATTAGCAGCTCCTTGAGAATACTGATGGTCTTAGTGCACATATGGAACAGGAGATGGGGCCACAGCAAATTCAAGGATGCTGCCCACAGCAGGCTACCCTGACAGCGTGGTGGGAGGACAGCTAGTGACTTGGTTAGACCGTGATGCTTCCCCTTAGATTTTTCATCCCTGATCTGGCCTACATATATCCCAAATGCTTTACAGGTTCATCTGAGCCGTAGTCTCAAGGTAGCAGGTTCACATTTTGGTGTGTGGAGCTGTAGTGAACAGCCCAGGAGGCCTACAAGCATAACTTTGTTTCCCCTTTTTGCATGAGTAGTTACTCAAAATCGATGTATAACAAACAAGCTAGCATCAAGTCTATGCATAAGACATCAGACCACGAGATTCGAGGAACAAAAGAGGCCCTCATTCAGGACTTGGAAAGGAAACTGCGATGCAAAGACACCCTTCTCCAGAATGGCAACCAGGTAAGGACAACCTGCTGATTAAAGCACTCGTAGTTATTCCTGTTATTAGAATGCAAACGCTTGTGCTGCTGGGGCAGGTTCTGGGCCCTGCTCCACCACGAGAGGCTCCTTCCCAGGAAAGGAGCTGTATATAGTTAGGAGATGATGGAAGCTGGCCTGAATGCATGGCAGCAGAGGCGGCAGCTGTAAATCTGCCTGTAGGCACCTTCTGTGGCAGCTCCGTGTCTGCATCTTTTGTGACCCAGCCCCAACAAGGGCTGCCCCGGCTCCTGTTAGCAATCTGGTGCAGCGTGGCCAAGCTGCTATTGCCTTTCCCTCTTAACCCACCCTCTTGGCCACCACTTGCTGTTCAAGCTGTTCTTGAAATTATGCAGGCAAATTAAGAAGGCTCCGGGCTAGATTGAAGAATCTGTATACCCAGGGAAGGTGGCACAAACTGTATGCCAGGTATCCTGCTAAACTTCATATCCACAAATAACTTAAAAACCCAAGGAGGGTACTCACGGTTCTCCAGTCATGTTCTCACCCTGACTTTCAGGGCCAAGTGTTGATAAGCCACCCCTGAATACTTAAAACTAGGAGAAGCACCCCAAGTGCTTTGGAAACCCATTCTAGCATCACTTCATGTGGAAAAGACTCTTTGATTTCTCTTTATACAAACAAAAACAAATCAAGGAAAGCACATAAGCTTTTATCTTAAATCCTGTCTGCTATTAGAAGGTCTCTCATTCCCATCTAGAGCAAGCAGGTCTCTAATGTGGGAGCCAACCTGCTGCTGGGAGGCAGGCTGTAAAAGCCCAGCATTATCCCACTTCCCACAGCAGAAAGGAGTTTTGCAGTTGCCTTCAGTAGAAACAGGTTTGTGTCATATGTATAATTTCAAATATTGAAGGCAAACAGCACACTAGGTCAAAGCTGAGTTAGTGCGTGCCTAGCAGGAACATCCTATCTGCTTTAACAAAGCTTGCTCTTGCAAGCCAGCTTTTCTTGCCATAGGAAGCCAGGCTAAAAATAAGGCTCATGCAATCACGATCCTGTCCCCTTGCCCTGTCCTCCAGCAGTGTCTGAACCAAATGGCCAGTCTCAGCCGCACTTGATACAGCAGTATATCTTGGGGGATATTATAATATATTAATATCTTGGGGATATTAAAATCCCATGGGTTTTGCAAAAAATGTTCTTCTTCTCTTCTAAAGAAAAGTCCTATGAGGATTTTACCTACAAAGGAGCAATTGCAGATGTGCCCCAGGCTCTGGAGATAGCCAGCTGGAGCTTGTCCTCACTGCACAAATTCCAGGTGTAGTTATTGCCTTTTGGGGGAAAAAATGGGATATTAGCATTCAGCAAAACTTTAGTTCCTGAAGTAAATCCCTGGCTGAGTGATTTGCAAAGTTTTCCCAGCACCAATAGAAAGGTACCCTGGGACTTGCTCTGGCTTCTGCGATGATGCCATCAGTTATCCATAAATAATCCCAGCGCAGAAAGAGGAGGCGTGGAAGGCCAGAGATGGAATTAAAAAGGCTTTGATGAACAGACAGTTTAATCTTTTATGCATTGCACTCGTGTGTATATATTGAGGCTGGCTCCAGTAGGCATTCGGACAGCAAACCCTCTGGAACAGACGTGGGGTCTCTAATCAGCTGCTGCTTTTAATGACAACACTTCAAGTTTGGGGCATATTAACGTGCTCTTACAAGATGAACTGAAATAGCAGATGGACTCTAACAAGACCTCTCCTCCGCTCTGCTCTAAGCGATTAACTTATGAAGAAAGAATGGCTCGCAGGCTGCTCGGACCAGAGAACGCCGCATCCGTGCTAGAAGCTCAGGGTGAAGAGGGCCTCCAGAACGCCCAGGTAACGGGGACCCGTCCCCACAGCAGGGGTTTCACTGGTTGTGGTGCCAGTGGCTGAATCTGCGGGGAGGCAAGGTGGGATTTCCTTGGGGCTGAGGTGGACAGGGAAGGGGACAGCATTGCTCCCCAGGGCTGCATTTCAGAGGGTTTCTAGGGGAGAGCTTGTGCAGTCACGAATAGCAGCACTTGCATCCCCTTAGTGGGCCTGATCTGGAGGAATGACCTCCCTGGGCAGGAATTACAACAGCTGCTGCCCAGCACGTTAGTCCCTGCCTGCAGGCAGGAGCAGGACGCAGGTACCCGCTCCCCAGCCGCCTGAGCTCACGCTTGGCCCGGACCGCAGGATTTACACCTGTCACTGCCTCAAATAAGTGACTGATCATAAGAGGTCAGGACCTTGGGGAGCTTTTGGTTGGGTTTGATCCTTTCCAGGAGACTGCGCTCATGAAGGGGAGACAAAGAGGTTATTTTAGCAACCTGCATGCCGATAGCCAAGGAGATATTGCTACTGGCATGTTGGAAAACATTTCAACTAGGGACTTGCATCATTCATTGGTTATTCCAAACAGGCCAGGGAAAAGCTTTCTTTGGCACTACTTTGGTCAAAGTTAATGGAAACGCATCTATGATGTGGCTCTGGATACCTGTTTTAGCCACGAAAGCCGCCCTCTAGCTGCAGGAGTGCTGAGGGAAGCAGCAGGTTGTCACACACCTTCCCAAATGCAAAGGTCTCCTCACTGCATGGGGCACTTAAGATCACAGCAGAGGAGGATCGCGTAGTTTAGAGCTGAAATGAAACTGTTTCTGGCCACCAATGACCTGATGTCACCAGCAGGGACTGTGATGGATATTGGAGAGCAGGGGAGACCTCATCTTCCACAGAGCAAGGAAATATTCAGCCCAAAACAGGCAGGTCCCTCAAAGGGGGTCAGTCCTCCCCAAAGAGTGGAAGGAGAGGTTGGTTTGCACTAGTCTTATTACTAAATATTAGTCAGTGACTCATTCAGGCTCCTGACTCTTCAATAACCTACTGTATAGCCAGTCTGTATAACCAAACACTAGAATTATCAGCAGCAACTTCATCTCTACAGCATCATTTCACAAGATAACCAATTATGCAATACTTGTGTTAATGAGCAAACATAAGCAATTGCCTTTGAAACTCTGCTTTGAGCTCTGTCCAACAAAACCCTTATTCACATGACATTTCTGTTCAGTTATAGATGTTTCTGTGCCTGAAGCTTAAGCCCAGGCTTAAGAGTTCCATGGGCCTGGGCTACCAAGCACAGAACCAAGCACTGTGATGGCTTAATACAAACACCCCAGACATCCTCGTGCAGAGTTTCCTCTATCTGATTCCACTACTGAAATGAGTCTCCAGTAATAAACTCTACTTGTATTCTCCAATCATCTAAATTCCCAGCAGGATTCAATCCTGAGTTCTTTAGAAGATCCACTCATGTGACTGTGGAGCTGTCAGGGAGCTTAGCCGGGGCTGTGATCTAGGAAGAAAACTATTTTCCAGCTCAACATATGTCCATTGCTCCTGGTACCATATTTAAGTAGGCACAAAACAGAGTTCTTGCCAGTGATTTCACTTCTATTCCTGCTGTCGGGAAGGACACTCCGTACTTAGCTCTCGTTTTAGATACTGTAGTGGAACTGTTCCCCTCTAACAAAGGTTACTGGGCTTGCCAAAAGCCTTGGGTGCCAAAGGCATCTACTGCACCTATCACCTGCACCAAGTGACGAGAAGTTGTCCCATGCTATTAATAGTGCTCGTTACTGCCGTGGCCAAAAGTCTAGGGTGAAAAGGAAGCACATTAGCTCCCGAGGCAAACGGCTTTACATCTTGTCCCAAAGACTTCTGAAGCACTCAGTTTGCTTTTAAGCTGCCCTCAGGATACCATCTTAAAACGTGTTTCCCTTCAGTTTATAATTACGCTTTTTCTATAAGTTATTGTATCTTTTCTCTTTCTCTTTCCAAGCACCAGAATGCAGAAAACATCAGGTTGCAGGTTCCTACAACGCACGTAAGGTAATGCATAAACTTGCACTGAGCTGCTCTTGAAGACCTTATTCTGAATATTTCCAGACAATATTAGTTCTTTGTTAATTTTTCTAAAATGAATTATTTTCAACTAAAATGCCACTGTCTGTGTGTGGTTCATGATGACTGTGATCTAAATCCAGTCCATTCTAAGCATAATGTTAAAGCTGTAAAGACTCCATATACCTGGGGCAAATATGATTCCTACTGCAGATAACATACCTGCACTGAAGGCAAGTTCAAACAACATAAATAATAAATACAGACCTTAGGCCACAGTGAAACCCAGCTCTCCTTATTCTTGTAAATTTTGGGGGATATTAGGCTAAAGATGAGTTTTTACATGTGATACTCCTATGTTAAAGCAAATACCTCGTGCAAAATAAGTATTTAATCAAAACTCATGCCTAACCTAGCAGCTGAAAAACAGAATTGCACTGTTGGATTTTTGGGACTGCAGTCAGTGTTTTGATGTGATCTGTGCTATGGTAACTTCTGCATAACTAATGCAGCTGGTATTATGTGCTTTCTAGGAGCAGACCGTCCTCAAGAGGAGATGAACATGGGCATGACTCGATCCAGGAAAAATTTTTTCAGCCTCGCTTTACACAAGTGCCTGAAGATGTGATTATTGAGGAGGGACGGTTCTGCAGGCTCGACTTTAAAGTAAGGGCAGCCTTTCCCTTTCAGTCCCATTACCTTTTGGTGTGGGCAGCACACAAAAGCTTGCCTGTCTTAGGCACCATCTTTACTCATTTTAAGGCAAAATGCCTAACTTGTGACTGTAAATGCATCAAACTCCCTGCACCATTTAAGGCTTTGTGTTATGTTAAAACTCTGAACTCTTCACGTTTTTTTTGTCAACTTTACAGGTTAGTGGACTGCCGACTCCTGATGTGATGTGGTATCTGAATGGAAGGATGGTTCACCAAGATCAGTTCCATAAAATGATCGTGTCAGAAAAAGGATTCCACTCCTTTATTTTTGAAGCAGTCAAATCATCTGATGCAGGAACATATGAATGTGTGGCTGTCAACCGTGCAGGGGAATCTTCTTTTGCAGTAAAAGTTGAAGTAATCGGTAAGAAACTGAGGACTAATAATTACCTGGCAAGTGTCTTTAGTCTAATATCTGCCTCTGTGTTTGGGACACTAAAACAACTGGGAAGCAGGGGTGTATCTCCAGGTACTCAGGCTCAATTTATAACAATTGCTTTACCTTTTCCAAGATTATTCTAATGCAGACTTCTGGGACTCCATATTTCTTCAAAGAGCTTGTATTGGGGTATCTAGGCATCCTGCCCAGAACTAGAGAGTCACTCAGATATCACAATATTGATAAAATATGTTACTGCACTGCCTTCCTAAAGCAGAATTTGTGCCTACTGTATCCTGGTGCTCCTGGCAATTGCCCCTAGGCTACGGAGCTTCTCTAAGAGACATTACATGCAACTACATGTAACCTTCTAAAAGCTTATAAACAAAGCCTGCTATTGACGTTCAATACTTAAGTATAATTCCTCCTCCTCTTTCCTCTTTAATTTAGCAAAAGAGCATCATACTCCTCCAACTTTCATCTTCAAACCACAAAGCAAAAAAGTTTTTGAAGGAGATACAGCCAGACTCGAATGCCAGATCTCTGCTATCCCAACACCCCGGATTTACTGGAAAAGAAACAATGAAATGGTACAATATAATACAGACCGAATAAGGTATCCTACTAATGAGTTGGCCATTGGTGTGTTAGAAAATGATAACCAGTGTTTAAGTCAAAATTGAGTGAGCTGGTTTCTAAAAGCAACAGTCCAGCCTAGCTGTGCCTTTTATTTGCTACGTGTGACACAGGCCCATGTGTTGGATAGATGCAATGCTCAGAGTCTCGCCTGAGAGCACAGAAAGAAAACTCTGTGACCAGATGCCACTTTGAAGACTGGTAGCAGTCACAGTGTGAGTGGGGAAGCAAGGCTAGAGGATTGAAATGTGCAACGTGCTCATCAGGCTTTGAGATGGCATGGGCTACAAGGGGGCCTTGACACCACCTGCACACGACCACACGGTGAACGAGTGGTATCCTCACAACACAGCAGTGCAGTGTTGGTGCCTAAACAATTTGCAGTGCTCTGCAAGAATTGTTCTAGGGCGTTCTCATCTCCTCAGCGTGCATGTTGCCTCTCTAACTTCAGTGTCTTTGTCTTATCTCCTTCGCCCTCTAAGCATTTACACATCAACCCTTTAATTTTGCAGCTTGTTGCATGACAATACGGGAAGGATTTGCCTCCTGATTCATAATGCCAACAAGAAAGATGCTGGTTGGTACACGGTATCTGCTGTTAATGGAGCAGGTGTGGCCACATGCCATGCCAGACTGGAGGTTGCAAGTAAGTACCACATCACAGCACTGCCAGCCTACGACTTAAGCAGACACTTGCCTATGTATTCAGAGCAGGCACTGAATATTAACCTTGTAAAGCTACCTCCTGGGGGGATTTCTTTCCCAAGATACTGACATAGGCAAAGAGCAACTAGTGCAGGAAGATGCTGCATTTGTTCTGTGTCAAAATCCTGTGTAATGTGTTCTTTGTACATGGTCTGTCTGCATCTCCTGCCCACACTATAAGAAGCAGGATGGCTGTGGGCCTTCCCATCAGTCTCCAGTGTCTTGGATAGGGGGTTGTCTGTTAAATTCGTCCCCAGGGTTTGCTGGTTTACATTGCATTTAAAAACATTTGGGTTGCTATATCATAGGTGCCTGGGAAAACACTGTAAGAGACTTTTCTCTCTCCTCCAGCACATGCAAACAAGCCGCTTCCAGCCCCAAAGCAGTTACGGGTTCGACCAACTTTCAGCAAGTATTTGGCGCTCAATGGTAGAGGACTGGATGTGAAACAAGCTTTCTCACCAGAAGGAGAGTTTCAGCGTTTGGCTGAGCAGTCTGGACTATACGAAAGTGATGAACTTTAACTGGAAAGGAAGACTGAAAACCCATTTGCACCTACAAGAGACACTTACAATATAGATGCAGTTAAATGGTGATTGCTCTAACTAGCAAAATACCTAGCTATATATTTTTACTTTGACTCTTGCACATTCTGCTGTTCCAATTTTACCATGTTAGATTTTATTTATATGGGGTGGTGAATGTAACCCTTTACTGAGTATTGTATTTTAACTGTACAGCCCAGGAAAGCAGGGCCATTAGTTTTTACAAGTGTGGGTGGTTCTAATTACACCTGTGCTAAAGTAGATTGGTTTGTACTGCTTCTCTAATATCACTCTTGATAATATCAGAACTCTGTGCTGCCTGAATACTAAAATCCAATAGATTAGAGTGTTTTTATGATATTTTTGTCAAAGACAAATAAAACTTTAAATATCCACTCCAGGCTGTGGTGACTCCTTATTCTGACAGCGAGCAAAGCTGGGATCTCCCCTGCTAAGCTTGCCCCATCTCCTCTCCCCTTTTCTGCTCCCCTTATTCCTTGTCCTTCAAGCACTGAAAGCTTAAACAGCATAAACAGGATGCTGATATGCCCTTAAAGGGCTCCAAGGGGGCTGGGTCAGGGAGTATTTTTCCCTCAGAGCTGAGATGTTTAATGGAGAACATGGAGGCTGCTCCCTCTTTGCTGCTTCCATCAAAGAGGGGCTGGGAGTTGGACCTGGCTCTTGGCTCTCAACAAGGTCTTGAGCTGAAGCACTCAAGGAGTTTGCAAGCACGGTGCTCAAGGCACCCAAAACCTGTTTTTGTCAACCTCCAACTACCTAAACTCTGCTCTTTGCAGCTTCCTTGTTCTCAAACTGCAGCTGCTAAAGGAAATCTGCAAAACTGACACTAGCCTGAACACTCCCGTGACCACACACAGTAAACCAGCTGTGGGCCCCAGACCTCAGAAACAGCTTAGAGGGTAGTTGGGTGTATTGCTGTAGGAGGTCTGAACTTCATACTACGCTGCTGGATCACACAACCAAAACCCCAAGCAGCTGCACCACCACACGCTTCTCCAGGTGTCCACCATCATGCCAGTCCCCAGGGCTGCCCTGGTAATTAACACTTACACCCAATTAAGGCTTCTGGCTGCTCTGAAGTGATCTAGCACAGAGTGAAGCTCCCTGAGCTGCTTTTTGAGCAGCATCCACAGTCCCACTCAGGAAGGACACAGCATTCCCAACATACGGGCCCGGGTAACATCACACGGTGCCCATATAAATACTAATTTAAACGAACGCATTCTCTCTTCTAACAGGGGAAGGGAACTTCCCAGAGCAGGGAGCCGGCCCATGGCACCACCTGAGGCTGTACTTTATCATTTCATCCCTACCGAGAGCGGCGGGCGGGAAGCGCCATCCCGCCCTGTGCTGGCATTACACAGCCATGCCAAGGCGCTGAACGGCCTCACTGGCAGCCAAGCCCCGACACCCTGAGGAGCGACAGTAACTAAGACCACAACCCGAGGGCAGCCGCCGAGCCAGGGCACGGCAGAGCCCACGGCGGGGCGGCGGCGCCCGTTGGGATTCGAATGCAGGCTGGAGCGGGAGGCGCCGCCATGGAGCGGCAGCTGCTCGCGCAGGAGCGGCGCCTCAGCGGCACCGGTGTGCGGGCGCCAGGGCCCAATACCACCCACAGGAGCAATCTGAGGGAGTTACTTAACCCTCGTTCTGGTTCTAACGGCTCCGGCGGGCAGCACGCAGCCCCCTTGGCCCTTGCTCGCTTCCAAGCGCCGCCATGGCCACCTCTCCCCTTCCCTCCTCAGGTGTGGCCCTGGTGAAGCGGCGGCCCAGCTACAGCAAAGAGCTGGAGATGAAATCGACCCTGCGGGAGCTGCTCGTCTACATCGTCTTCCTGGCCGACCTCTGCATCTGTGAGTTGGCCACCGAGTTGCGTGGCCTCAAGCTACAAGTCATTAAGCTGCAGCCTCATTAACGGCCTCTACATCCCCCAGTACACAACAGTGCTCAGGGACAAGGGTAGAGTTATTTAACCCTTAACTCCACCTATCCCAGCAGCCAAAAGTGTCATTTATAAGTGCAAATTTCTCTGCCTGCATGTTTTTTTTCTAGCAGCTTGACCATTAATGATGCTCGAAGCAGGGACAAGGCGCTCGGAAACTGCTGCCATCCCCTTATTTTGACTTATGAGCTTCCCCGCTCTTTCCTCCAGTGAGCTTCGGGATGGTCAGCACGGACATGTACTACCTGAACAGGGTGATGGCGCATCTCTTCCTGGAAACCTCTTCCTCCGAGGCAGATGGGGTTACCTTCAGGAGCATCAGCAGCATAGCCGATTTCTGGAAGGTGAGTCTTTGAAAAACCGTTAAAAAAAAAAAAAAAATGAGGACAAATAGTAATATTGGAAGTTTTTATGGAGCAGCTGAATAAACCAAGGAAAATTTTGTGCTAATTAACTAATACATGATATTCTCTCTATTAGGCTTTAACAAAGCAGAAAAACTGGGTGCTTTCATTTCATTCAGTTCTTTTCCTTTTTGTTTGGTAAAAAATGCCAGTCTTTATTAGCTGTGTTTGGCGCTAGGAGAACCTACTATCTTGGTTTATCTGGTATGCTGTTAGCTTCACAATCACGCTTCAGCAATGGTTTCAAAATAGATATCTCTACTTTTACTAGTAGGTGAAGGACTCCTCAGAATGACTGGTATTGCCCAGCGGACATAGGAAAATAATTTTTTTCCCCTCAGTTTTTCTTCAGACAGGAAATGCCTGATTCTAACAACTCATTTGGAGGATCCATATTTCATCTTATCATTATGTCTGCTCCGTGGACTATTGCTAGTCTATAAAATAGCGAGTCGTTGGTATATGATATACATGCTCATGTACTAGAAGCAGTTGTAATATGTGATCAAGTGATGCCAAACCACAGGGGAATGTTGTTTCATGTACTATTATCCCCAAGTGTAATGCTCTAAGAAACTGCTAGATCTATATCTGCATCTAAGGAACACTGAGTAAGGAAGAAAATTTCCCTTTCCTTCAGAAACAACTATATCTTACTTTAGATTCAGATGACCAAAATGCATCCAGAAATCTATATCTCAAAACAGGTCTTCAGAGAGTATGATAAACAACAAATTGTGTCAGAACAATATCAAATGCTTAGAATTTTAAACAAATATGTTTACATTCAAAGAGAGAGACATATTTTTAAAGGAATTCCAGATATCTGCTGAACAGTCCCATTGCAGGTCTCTGACAGAACTGCATAGGGAGCAGAATTGACTCATAGGAAAAAACACATGCAAAGACAGCGTATCAGGAGGTCGGTCCTTGCATCCTAGCTTAAGACTCCCCAGCCATAGGTGACCTGAAAATCCTATAGAGGCTTGAATGTGAAGGAGCTAGGTAACAGCAATATTTTAGTCTTCATTTGAACCTTAACCTCTGTGGCTTATCTAGTTTGCAGAAGGTCCCCTCTTGGATGGACTCTACTGGGACAAATGGTATAACAACGTGACATTAACCATGCAGAAAAACAGCAGCCATATCTACTATGAGAATTTACTGTTGGGAGTAGCCCAGGTTCGACAGCTAAAAGTGCGTAACGGTACCTGCTCCATCTACCCGTATTTCCAGACTCTTCTAAAAGACTGTTACCGTGAGTATCGCTATCGAGCTGAAGACAGGTCAGCTTTTGGTCTAAAGAACGGATCTGAGTAAGTATCCTGCTTCAGATCTTCTTATTTTTCTTTTGGATATTCATAAGAGATTCTGAAAATCAAAACATTTTCAATTGAAACCAGACATCAAATGCAGAAATGGTTTTGAAATCTCCACTGATGCAACCTAAATCAATCCTTAATGCCCCTATTCTTGAGTGAGTTAAGAACTGTGTATGCAGTGAGCCAAGATTTTACTTGTTTGTGTTGAGACAAACCATGGATTGGCTTTGTGCCAACATTATTGACAGGAATTTAGCATGGAAAATTTATAGAGGAGGAACAGGAAGAACTGGAAACAAGAAGGCCAGTTCAACAAAAGCACATGTTGATGGATCTCTCTCCACTAACATCTCTGGAGAGATGTTTAATTATATGAGGCCTGAATTTAAATCACATGTTTATAAATTGGTATCATGCTAAAATGCCCTGGAAACAGATCCAAATGTGCTGCTTCACACATTTCATTTAGCAGTGATGTAGCTAGAAAGAGCATGTGAACATTCCACATTAATGGGAAGTGTGCAAACCAGAGCTGCTACATTTACCTATAAAGGTTTTAAGATAATAAACCATCTAGTCCAATTTGGGCAAAGTCAAGATTCATAAGCAATGGCTGTTTTGTGATATTGTAGTCAATAGTTAAGTAAAATAAAAGGAATATTTTAAGGCCATATGTCTCATGCACACTTGATGTAGAGGAAAGAATTATTTAAGGGTCTGTCTTAAAAAGTTGGTTGTAAATGCAGTAGAACACAAGAACTAACAAGCAAAAATATATAATAGAAATTAAAGCTTACTTCAGTCCAATTTCCTTAAGATGAGTGGCTTTGTTTCCCATTTCTGATAGGTGGAAATATCTCTCTGTCTCCTCTTTATCCCCATGGTACTGGGGCTATGTGGGCTTGTATAGCAATGGAGGATTCATATTCACTCTACCCAAGTCCAAGCGGGACAGCATGGAGAAGCTGGTGTTTCTCAGGCAGAACAGCTGGCTCACCAGAGGAACCAGGGTTGTGTTTATTGACTTCTCTATGTATAACGCCAACGTAAACCTTTTCTGTATAATCAGGTGAGTTTTTAGCTTATTACACGTGAAATACAATTAACTGAGACGTGGTGCTTCCTTAAGGACACAAGGAAAGGCTGTTCACCTTTGGCATACAGAGTTAGGCAGCTGCTGCCATGGCAAGACTTTAAAAAATACAGAAATGCAGCAAGAGCAGGGAATGGACACAGATCCTTCACGTCCAGTCTAAAGAGGTGGTCTCTGCTCAGTGTGGCTGGTTGCTGCTGTCAGTGGGAATTGACTGCACAGCCTTTTGCCAAGTCAAAAATAGGGTTATTGGTCCTGTTGTGAGCTAGTGCAGAGAAAAGAGAAGAATCTCAGACTCAGGGTATGGCAGAGAATATCTGCTCCTTTCTGAAACATTATTTCTTTAAAGCCTTTCAACCAAACACAATCACTAGGGTATCTAGAGAGCTTCTTGGTTTTGTCTCAGCTTTCTCTACTGTGTTGTACTCTCTTCAGTACTAAGATTTTCTAAAATCTTAGAGGTGCAGGAGTTACCAAGTTGTCCATTTTACAGAAGTATGGGGTCCAGCTGGAGTTCCAGTTAGGACTTATTAACATAGCAATAATTCATATTAGAATATTAAGGTGTGAGATGATTTAGAGCAACAGTAACACCTCATCCCCAACTTCTTTTCCAGGTTGGTGGTAGAGTTCCCTGCAACCGGGGGTGCTCTCACCTCCTCACAGATCTACTCTGTGAAGCTCCTCAGATACGTCACGTATTATGATTACTTTCTGGCCTCTTGCGAAGTCACCTTTTGCTTGTTTGTCATTGCATTCATAATCCATGAAGTCATAAAAATAGCAAAACTGAAAAGAGACTATTTCAGAAGTGCCTGGAACTGGCTGAATATACTATTGGTGGTGGTGAGCTGCCCATCAACTCTTATCCCTGTGCTTGCCAACTTACGGTAGTACTGGATAGCTAGCCAAAGACCCAGAACAGCCCAGAGATTCTCCTGGCTAGAGTTCAGTGTACAACAGTACTTTTCCTGGTACCACAGTGCACTAAGGAGACCATATGGCCCACTGAACCTGAACGCCTTTCCTGCCTTGCTGTCCACTTGCCATGGGGCTCCACATCTGTCCCATCTCTTTGTGTTTAAGCTGTAATCTTTGCAGAGCTGGGAGGCACGAGCACAAACAGTTACCTTAGTAAAATTAGAGTGCATGTAGTATTTGTGCTATTATCCAGCGTTAACATAGTACAGTTACAAATAATTTGGCCAATAAAGTAACCTACTTAAAGTTTACGGCCAAACATGTAATAAGATCTAGTTCTTGAAACCTGACCAAGGGCTTCTCAAAATCAGTAAAGTGTTTCTTTTAAGACAAATCTGCAGAGAGGGAGGTAACTGAACATCAGTTTCACTGGCTTTTGCTTTTCTTCAGATATCTATCATTGCCATTGCTTTCAACATCTACCGCACTGTAGAAGTGTCCCTGTTAATGGAAGAGCTGCTCTCCAACTCGTCTGTGTACCCAGACTTTTACTTCCTTGCATCCTGGCAAGTCCATTACAACAACATGATTGCAGTCAATGTCTTCTTTGCCTGGATAAAGGTATAGATTCTTGCTCCCTTTTACTGTACTTGAGAATAATAGCGTTTTAAAGTACATTACAAATATTTGCCCTTACCACATGGGGTGGTATTCGTATGCCCTTACCTTATTCCTCTCTTATCCGTTATCCCTTACCCTTATCCCTCTCCTCAAGTGTTTGTAAAGCACCTAGCATGAAGCAGTTGGAAAACAGAAGGGGAGATGTCACCCAAAAAGATCACGCTTTCAATCAAACCCTGAATACTTAAACACAATTCATATATCTGCTCTCCAGACCATGCTCTTTTAAAACACAGAGGCTCCTGCCTGTCCTCCACCTCCCAAGCCAAGGCTGAAGGAAGCAGCAGTTTGGGAGCCCTGGCTGTTCAGCAGTTCTGCCACAGCCTCCCTTGTTATGTCGCATCTTCACCTGAGCTGCACATTCCCCCACATTGTCCCCCTGCACTCTAGTTACCATTAATGTAATAGCACAACCGTGCTGCTAATTAACATCTGCCATTGAACAAGGACAGCGTAATTTTGTCCAGGCCTTCAAATTAGAATTCAAATTAAGAGAGATTCAAATGAAGAGAGACAGCTTTTTACCAGCTCAGCCCCACAGGGAAGCCTCAGATGCAGGGGCTGGTGTGTCACGTACATCTCCTTGGCGAAAGGGCCACATCTGCCAGAGCACAGTACACATCCAGCACCAGGAAGGACCTGCTCACACACAAGTAGCTTCAGCAATTAAATTATTTGCCCTACAGAATGTTCCTCTTCTCCAGAAACACACCCAAGCTCAGGGATCCTTGCAGATTCCTGCCACTAACACATCTGACACACAACTTACTTCCAGATAAGATTTAACCTGTAAATAATGGTTATGGATGACATTCCAGAAATTCTGCTAAAATACTGTATATTTTGATATTTTAGTAGCATTTCTTTTTTTTTTTTTCCAGATATTTAAATACTTAAGCTTTAACAAGACGATGACTCAGCTGTCCTCCACTTTATCCCGCTGCGCCAAGGACATCATTGGATTTGCCATCATGTTCTTCATCATTTTTTTTGCATACGCACAGTTAGGCTACCTGGTCTTCGGCTCACAAGTTGATGAGTTTTCCACGTTTCAAAACTGCATGTATGCACCTTTATAAAGCTTTTGCTACAAAGACCCCCGTCCCTACGGGTCTGGTCTGTGACTGTTTCACAGAAAAGCTGCCAAGGAGTCACTGAGAAAAATGGACTTGACTCTGCATTTAGCATCATCTTGGCACTGCTTTTCTCCCCACACCTTCTCTTTGGGTCACGCTCCCTATGGCAGGAGCAAACCCACGGATGGAGTTAGGCAGCATTTCCCTGGGGTCTGCCCATTCTGCCTGCTGCAACAGGCAACAGCTCAATATAGTACATCAAAAATGTAGAGATATTTAATTTACCAGACTGACAGCAGCTTTTCAATGTAAAATTAATGCACTCTTAAAACATAGAATTATCTTTCCGTTCGGATCCATTTGGATGTGACATAGATCTGAGTGGCTGCAGTACAAAGAAATAAAGAAACGCGCATTTGTTTTACCTGGGTTTAAAAACTCCATCTACACCATTACCCTTCTGTAATGACAGATAATGTGGGATCCTGGAGCTCAAACAAAAGGGAAATAATTCTTAAAACTAGAAACCAAGTGCTTTATCCACAATGAAAATATCTGCTGTTCTGTAAGACATTAAGTTTTCTGCACTTTCTCATATTTATCCTGAATGCCCCACTGACCACATTCTGCTGGCTTACCTGCTCATCTCCGTGACTCAGGTAACAGCCCATCAGCCTCTTCCAGTTGCATTCAGTTTCCTTTTTTTGTATTGCTCAAAAGTCTGCTCTATAGGAGAGGTTACATCATCGTTGTCTTTTTACTCCCAGCTTTACACAGTTTCGCATTGTGCTGGGAGATTTCAACTTTGCAACTGTAGAAGAAGCAAACAGCATCCTCGGGCCTATTTACTTCATCACGTTCGTGTTCTCCGTGTTCTTCGTGTTGCTGGTAGGTGGCATCTCAACCAGCACTTGCGCTTCTGCACAAGCAGCAGCAGTGTCTGAGGTCACCTGTTGTGCAGTGCCCCAAGGAAGCATTTTCTTTGCAAACTGCATTCATGTAACTGCATCCTTCCTGTGCAGAACATGTTTCTGGCTATTATAAATGACACCTATTCAGAAGTCAAGGCAGATTTTGCAGTGATACCAAGTCAAGAATTCGCCATCAGTGACTTCCTGAGGCAGGTAAGCACACACTTCCATAACCACCTACTTTCATCCAATGTAGTACAAAGTCTATTGCTATATCCCTAGTGAAGGGCCCTAAATTAACTAGGACCATAAGCAATTAAGAACACCCAGAGTTCAATTTTTTGCATCCAATGTTACATCCTAAGGAAAGGGTAAGGAAAGTCCTAAGGAAAGGGTAAGAAGTGTGATCCTAAGGAAAGGGTAAGAAGCTGCTTGCACTGGTGTAGCTAGGGGAGGAGAGGGGCAGGGAATGGGGATCACTCCCTGCTTGGGCTGATGTAGGTTTTTAAACACAGACCAAGGGCAAAGTGCAGCTGGAGAGGTAGTAAGAGAAGGACAGAGGCAGTGGGAGTAAAGGTGCCCTTGGCTGAACTTCTGCAAGACTAGACACCAGAGAAAGAAAAAAACAATCCTTACTGGGTTTGCTTGGATATTGCTTTCAAGGATTTTGTGACACTTGTGGGAATTGTGTTGGATTGCCAAAACATCGCGCTGACAGTCGGCTCCTGACCTCCAAGTGTGGAAATCTCTGTGGTTAAACACACAGCTCCCTTAACACGCTCTGCTTTCCTTGTGCCAGGCCCTGGTCAAGCTCAAGCTGAAGCAAATGGAGACGGACATGAAGGTGGAAGAAGAGAGCCTGGGGAGCGCGAGGAGGTAGGGTCCCTGTCCGGGTTGCTCCGTGCACGGGGCAAACACCAGTTCTCACGGGATTTCTGCTTGTGTCCATGACAAGCACCGAATCCGCAACCACTGCGAGAAGAGAAATGCACAGGCTTTCCAAGGAGAGCACCGCGGATGCAAAGGTGGGATTTATTCTTCCCTCTTCCTAGAAACTGCCAGCTGCATTTCTAAAACTGAGAAATGCAAAGGGAGACCGAATTGTACCTACTATTACTGACAAAAGTTCTCTCTCCATGGAATACTATTTCAACAACACAGGAATAGCACTCAAAGTAGACCTAAAAATAATCACTAACGATACCCCAAAGTTCCAATGAAAGGGTGCCCAGGCTCTGTTCAGGTGAGGTCATACACTATGAAAGCAGAGCTGGCAGCAGGCTGAGGTCAAGGTGTTTTAGCAGTGATATAAAGTTGTGAGTTAGATATTTGCCCAAATGCTAAACTAAAATGCAAAATAAGAAGTGCTTTAAAGCATCCGTTTGGGTTGTGAGACCTGTTTGCAGCGGGGAGAAAAAAATTGTCTTTTTTTTTTTTTTTTTTTTTTTTTTTTTTTTAAAGTAGAAGAGAAGCTGCTTGGTAGCCCCATAACCCAAGCTAACCCAGAGCAAATACTACTAAGGCATCTATTAACAAGCAGGATTTCCCCATGTCTCTGCATGAAAGGGTAGCAGGTACCCAAATAAGCCACTCTGGCCTTTCCTATGTGTCTGTTTTCTAACCCCTCTGGTGTGGTACAGGGCTACCCAAAGCCGGCACAGCTACAGAAATGGAAGGAGAACTTTCATCAGAGGGAGGACCTCGGCTCTGTCTCCTCTCAGGGCTCTGTCTCCCCCGAGGAATTTCAGCAGTAAGTTCTTGTTCTTGCTCGCCTCTCCCCTGCTCTGGGGGAGCTGCAGACCCTGCCTGACCCAGAGACAGCCCGAGATGCAGGAGGTGAAAAGGCAGAAATTGCGAAGTCAGTAATTTTGATATTTTAAGTGCTTTTATACTGTCTGACAGTGACTTCCCTGAGAGAGAGGGTGGAAGCAGGAAAGATGTTTAGCAGAGCAGCTTGCAAGGAGATTGTCGAAAAGGAAGGTGGGACTGGAATTGGAGGATATTCCCACTCCTGCAGAACGAGCCCTTGTCCATGCCCACTGGAAAACCTTCCTGCTTGTGAAGGGGCAGTGCAGGAGCAGACCCTCGGGAGCTGTCACGGTTCCCATGAGCAAACAGCAAGGCTAACAAATAGGCGTTTACATCCTCTTAATGCCCCGTCTCAAGGATTTATTGCTGTATTTTTGTGCCCTAGGCTTTTCAGGTACACTGCTGAGTTGGAAAAGGAATTAGATGGTATTAACAAAAAGCTCCATAAAATTATGAAAAAAAAGTAACCGCTGAAGGTCATTTCCAACAAGGCAAAAGGGACGAGCTCATCTGGTGACAGAGGTGGCCTTATTCTTCACACCATTGAAATTCCAAGTCAAGAAAAAGCAGTTCTTCTCTCCTCATCTTTGCCATTTCTGCACCAGAGAAGCAGGAACCTCAATAAAAGCAGTCTCTGCTGCCTCACAGTCTTTTCCATGTGGGTTCCTGGTGGTTTTTCCGCTCTAACAGAAACTCACGGCCTTTGCCAGAGCTCTGGGCAGGAATCTCACCCAAGACCTCGATGACATTTACTCCTTTGGGCCCCCTTTGAGGAGCACCGAAACAGGGCACGAGCAAGGGCAGCTCCAGGGCCTGTTCCGTTCCCTTCTCTCCATTTCTCACCCAGACCTGCTTCAATGCAAACCACAATCACTAATCAGAGCTCAAAATGTGCTTCATTAGCCCAGACTTCTCCAGACTGAGTTTTTTTTTGCGAGTGCATCTGCTGCCAGGTATTTTTCAACACCTCTTCTTCTTCTTTTTGTTCTTACACCTCTTCAGGAAAAATCTAGCCTTTCTCCCAGTTTTTTTTTTTTTTTTCCCCTCATCCAGGCCTTAATAAGTGGGGCCACTAGAGGGCATTTGCTTCGCCTCTGCACCAACAGGAATTCTGAGAATGGTTCCTCATTCCCTTTCTGCCCACTTCCCTGGTGACCTGCACATTCCCGGGTCAGGAGGGCCGTGTCCGGCAGGCAGGACGGAGCAGCACCCACCACTTCCCAGACCTCGTTTCTATCCCTGCCAGCCCAGCACGGGGCACAACAGCGACTGCTTGGCCACAGGGCAACGCACCGTGCAGGTTTAAAGAGTAAATCCCCTTGCAAAACACACCAGGGTTTGCAAGGACGCTCGTCACTCTGCAGGCCAGCTCTCCTGCTGGAACAGAGGCCCTCCCGCAGCCACGGGGTTCCCCACTGGCACATTTATTCCTGGAAACAACAGGAGATAAACCAGGTGTTAAATCCGCTCATATGTGGCCATTAATATTTGCACACAGGAAGAATAAAACCCGTGTCCGAATGCTGTCTGAAGGCACCATGAGAAAACAGGGGCCGTCACCCACACCCTGTGCCCACAGCTCTGCTGCTGCCATCTCAGTGCTGCAACCCCCAGCCTCAAAAGTATTGGTGCTTTGGCCTCACTTCCTTGGCAAGACCCTAACCCTGTATGCCAAAGAAGCCCAAGAAAATCTCTTCAGGGGTAGAACTTGGAATACTGTAGCTTGGTGCTATCTCAGTCTTGGACAGGGAACAGCCTTGAATTTTTGCCTCGCTCCCTGCAACTTTCTCATCCATTTTGGTCAACCATCCTCAGTCATAAAGTCTTCCTTCAGTTTTAGGACACATGGATTTCAAGCCGCTCCCACCAACCCTCTGCTCAAAAGTTCTGTCTGCTCGTTAACATGAGTGCAGCAAGTTTTGCTATGTAAAGAGCCATAAGGGAGGAGGAGGGGAGAACAGATGTGCAGTAAGACCTTGATCATTCCTCAAGCCTTCTAACATGTTTATTTTTTCCCCATCTGTAAAGAAAAGCCAAGTACCTGAGCTTGCACGTGCTAGGGATCAACATTCAGCGTGACCATCTACACATGCTACAGCTTCACTGATCAGAGGGAGGTTATACCTTCCCAAGCCCAAGGCACACACTAAAGGCGGCCTCCTTGCTCTCCTCTCTCTGTTGTTCCCCCCTTGCTTCACTTTGATTCCCGCTGTCCCTCTCCCTTACCTGCAGTCACATCTCCCCAAGCAGACTCTTCATCTTCAGAAATTCCTGTCATGTGCCAGGCCTCATGATGAAGAAAGCAGCAGTTACACCAAATACAGCAGGGCAGCTGGATGGAAGGGCTAAATAAAACACCTTCCATATGATCTTATGCCAGGATACAATGAAAAAAAATCAATTTGTTCCAAACCTAAAGCATCCTCCTGTATTTCCAAGACTATGTGCAGCGGCAGCACTCATTGGCCGTGACCTGCTCTACGTGACATTGGCTTTAAGGAATTGCTATGAATATAGAGGCACAATAAAACACTGCCCAGCAGCCCCAGCTGTCACAGCCCGTGGGCAGCGAATTAGACCCGCGGTGACCGAGTCACCTCCCTGCTCCATCTGCTGCCCCGGTCAGAGCGGGGCCGAGCGCGACCCAGGCACCGTCACGCGGCGGCACCGGCTCGTCCAGCCGCCACGTCGGGGCGGCCGTGGTGACTGCCCTGCCGAGCAGGGCGCGAGAGGCGCGAGCTTAACCTGCGTAGCCGAACCCCGGGCTGCCGCCGCGGCCGGGCCCCGCTCGCGAGCGGCCCGAGCGCTGGGGCCCTCGGCGCGACACGTACGAGCAGCGACAGCGACGGACGCAGCGCGTGTCTTTAGGAGCTGGTACTGCAGGAAAAAGCACAACGAGAAACAAAAATATGACAATAAAGGTTAAGGTACTTTTATTATAAAAGTCTATACAATGAGCACCAGACATAGCAATGCAATTATATCTGGTTTAGTTATATATATTCCGTATCTATATATCCATATAGATATATAGGCTTTGCTTTTACCAAAGTAAAACTGTTATATCACAAAATGCCTAGTTCTACCATTTATTTATTGCTCAACAAGGATGGCACAAAACACACTCGTAGCATAACTGTTGCCATGCTTATCTACGATACCGAATAAACAGCCAAACACCGCATAACAAACACAAAGCAGCTGTTAATTCTGAATTGGAACCAGTCTGATCACTCACTCACTTATAAAAATATTGGAATCATATAGATTTAAGCATTATAAAGGAGGAATATATTATTTAAAACATTTAAATAGTGCATATTGACATTTTGCATGTGGTATATAAAACACAAACATTCATGTACAACACTATACAGTACGCATTAGGTTCAATGTTCGGATACACCCGTGTCTGCAGACCAATAGAAAAGTTAACTGAGGTGTACATTGCACAATGGAACTGAATAAAATTGATAAATGGTCTCAAGACTAGTTTAACCTCATAATTCTTTAAGGTCCCAAATCATTTTGCTGTTTTTTTTTTTTTTTTAAAAAAAAAAAAAGGAAAAAAATGCATACCACCAGTGCTCAATAGTTTTAGTGCTTTTTTTCTGAATTAAAAAACACGCCCACAAGCAAAGTAAAACAAAACAAGAAGTATTCTATAGTACACAGATGAAATCTGAGCACTAAAAATCCTACTATCAACCTATTTCATATGCTTCATGACAGAACAGCAAGCCTATGAGGTTACATGCGAGCCACGTCTTACTTTGTGAGAAAGTTCATTTTTGGTCTTTCATAAAGCAGTGTGAATAAAAGCTGTGTTGACATTAGCCAGTCTTAAAAACATGCAGTGAGAGGAGGTGCATGCAAAACATGACCACAATCAAACGGATATAGCGAAGAAAAAATTGGAGAAAGCACCAGTTAAAATTAACACTTAGATTTTGCCAGATCAGAAACAGCTGCTGATGGCTGTTGTAGCGCACAAAGCTAGCGAAATCATCGTTCAGCACAGCAGATGTGATCATCAAAACATTATTTAGTTTCAGCTTTGAAGCTAAATCATGCAAGGCCCATAAACTGTTTTGCTTACATCATAAAGGTTAGATCGCTTAGTTTTCTTCTCCAACCATGTAACAAAATCATGATAAACAGCAGTGATTTCCTCCCTCCACACTGACACAGTTCACCTTATGGTGCCCATTAGCTACACTGATTTTAGCCCTTGATACCATACTTGTTTCACGTACAGTGGAATTTTAACTGACCCAAGCCAGGTCTTTTCTGCTGGAGCCGTGCAAGTCTGAGCACCGACACATTTCCCATACACTGAAATGTTCATTATGTTCCTCAAGTCTTCTCAAAGTGGAGATGCAGTATCCAATTCAGACAAAACACTGTGTCACCACTAGCTGATAAACAAGAACTGGTAAAATGGTATAATGAACAACAGTAACGTAAGTCCTGTAGGCAGCGTGTGATATAACTTTTGAGTTTTCCAAGTTTTAAAAGACACTAAGCAAGGTCACTTTCTGGTTTGTCCACTGTCATCTTTATCAAGGAGGATACGTGACCACTAAGTAGCAAAATCCATAGATGTTAATTATTACTGTGTGATAGATGCAATTTAGAATACCAAAAATTAAAGTTGTTTCACAACAGTCCTTTAAAAGGAATTTCAGTCCAGTTTTTAAGTGTCCCAAGAAAAAGAGCTGTGTATTTAATTTGCTGACCTTTTTTTCCCCGTAATAAAAAACAGGCAACAGGAGGAGTTCAGTGTAGGACTATGATATAGGCAATTTCTTCAATAACGCAAAAGGTTGGTAATACCAAAAGTCTCAAAGCTCTTGAACGCTAAAGAACAAAATGCTATAGTCTTTTGGGAACAAGATGCATATGTAATACAAAATTTTGATGGAAATCATGTTTGCTAAAGTTGGATAGAGCAGTCTCGAACTTAGAAATCTGATTCTTGCTCTAGACAGGACCTACCTACCCTTCGAACAGGTTATAGCGGCACCACAATAAAGTGCACAAACTGGATTCTTTCAACAGTGCATGACAAATGAACACAAGTACCCAATAAGTACAATGGTAGCATAAGGAAATATTATGTTATTCAAAGTTTTGGAGGAACATAATTTATATTGACTTCGAAGAGTCTTGTTTGCTGATAAGGACTTCTAACAGCCTAAGTTTGGCTTTAATTTTCTTGTACTCCCTGTACTCATCAAGCATCGGAACCCGGTCTTCTTTCTGTATGTTCCTGTGAAAACAAGCACACCTGAGTCACAAGAAGATCCTACACATTGCTCGAAGTCAAACACAACAAGATGTCCAAAATAACTGAACAAAAACAAACAACATCTGCCCCCATTACTGGTGAAGCACCCTGCCCACGAACCACCTGTGCTCAAAACAGGTGGGCAATCTGAATAATTTTTATAAAAGCTAATTCCTCCAATTTCATCATTATGCTTTACAGATTTTTAACAGAGCAAACAGAGCAGGCTTCCTCCTCTGTTAATAAAACACGAGCGAGGCCCAGTTCTACCTTGAAACCAATCAATTATTAAAAGTAAAAATGGATTTGATTCCATTTGACAACAGTCATTTAAAAAGTGAAAAAAAAACCAAAAAAAACATGGCTACAGAATCCGGCTGCTGCCGAGCTCTGGTCTTTCTGCTGAACAAACCTGCCGTTCTGTTGATAAAACTCCTCTTCAAATTCTCGTAAGGTCTTGCGTAGCTTCTTTTTTTCAGCTCTGGCTTTCCACAGTTGCTCCAGCAATTCTGGCCTAAAAATTTAAGTTAAAGAATACTGTTGGCCATATGATGAAATTTTAAATTCTTCAGAACACAGTCAAAAAAAAAAAAAAAAAAAACAAAAAAAAAACCACACCACTAAGCTAGCCGTGAACTAAACCTAAATTCATCTCATGCACCAGAAGTAGAGTTTCTGTTTGATGATGAAATCCTGAAGACAACTACTAGTTAATAAAAGGGTGCAAGTTTTCTGCTGCCTACACAGCTAAAACAGGAAAATGCAGATGACAAAGATCTTAGTCAGACATGTCAGAGGAAAAATGCTCAGTCCAACCAAACAGTTCCGATAAGCGCTGAACTTGTCAATTCTCCTCTGCCTCAATTTCATATTTCATGTCATGACTGTAAGTGCAATCAGTGCAATGGCTGTAAGAGCACTAGTCATTTTGTAGTTATACGTACATAGAAGCAGCTCGAGTGCTTGACAGCCTAAGGTCCCGTGTCAGTTTTTCTTGACCATCTTCAACATCAGACTCCGAGTTTTCAACGGGGCTTAAAACAGACTGTGTTTGGGTAGCAGTTTTTAGGATATCATTCAGGTCTGCAGACAAACCATCACTTTCCTCCTCTTCTTCCTGAGGAAAGTCGAAATTCAAAACAAATATGAAATATTTCCATTTCTTATTTTATCTGTTGGAAAACACACACATAGCTTTATTTTTAAAATTCACTATACATACCTTAATTTCTTCAAAAAAATGTGCAGTTTCACCCTCAATAATGGGCTGTAACATCTGTCCCCGCCTCTTGGTTGATGGTGACCCCTGAAATATTTATGTCATTACATGCAATCAGATAATAGATGCTCTATAGAGTAAAACCAATTTTGTTCAAGTCACTGCATTTAGCAATTAATTCTTCATACAGAAAGATGATAAGAGACTGTAAATATCCTTACAGGACACAAACTGAGCAGTGAAAAAGAATCTTTTAAATTGATGGAAATAAGTGACTGCTTTCCTTTAAAACTGTGGAAACATCTGGTAAAAATTCAAAAGAAAAATATAGCTGGTGACTGGAGGAAACAGAATGAAGAAAAGAAAATCAAAGTCTGCCCTGCGCTCATCTGCTCCAGACATATCTAAGAGAAACAGTTCATGAAATCTGTTCATGAACTGTAATACGGCTATATGTAATTGAGGTGGCAATAAACCAACCTCAGTGAAGCCTGCAAAGGGAAAAAAGAGACCCTTATATTGAATTGAGCATCTAAAAGTTGCCCTACAATTCAGAAAATGAAGGGAATTCTGGAGTACAAGGAGGTTTTAAGGGTTTTTTTTTTTTTTTTTTTTTTTCCTCTTCTTCTCCATAGCACGTGCAAGAAAGGAATGATTTTGAATTGGTCTCTGTATCTTAGTGTACTTCAGCTGAGAAGGGATTGCTTAAAACAGAGTAAAATTAGACAGCAGATTAAATTGCTGCTGAGTAAAACATTGTACAGATACATAAATCTGGTTGAGGACTATAGCTATACAACCTCATCCTAAAATGGTCAAAAAACTAATATCAAAACTATGCTGTGTTGCCAGCCCAAGTCAGCATGCAAGTTTTTGATTCCAGTCTGTGAAGAACAGCCAGCTTGCTGTCTGTCACTCCATAACTTCTTACAGGTCCCTGTAAACAAGGGTACATCCATCTTCTTACATAACATGGACACCCTTCTCTTCCTCAACTCTTACATAACACATTGCTCATAAACACTTCTAATGAGAGACTGGGAATGGGAAGTACTTCAAGTTAGAAGGAAATGTAATAGTTAAAAAAAAAGGCACAGATGTTGTACAGATGCTGTAGATATCGATAACATATCTCACACTGGAGAAACGTGAAGGAATGAAATGCTTCTTGTGCCTGTCCTTTCCCTCCTGCCTCTCATGACAATATCCTGCACTACAGCAGAGTGGCAGGTTTTATTGCAACTGGTGTTACTATTCTTGGGAGGACTCAGAGTACGGTCTGTCCCATGCGATGATACCTAGTGCAAGGCGACTTGGGAAGTCTCAGCCAATTAAGTTAGAACTTGATTTACTTCTATCAGGAGCCATCTACTACTTGCGAGCCATCAAGGTAGAAGAGAGCTAGAACTGCTCTGCTCTCAGCAATTAAATCAAATGCCCCAAGTACAATGGCAACATCCTGCACCTTCCAAAATATAGATATGTTTTACAGAGCAGTTGTGCTGAGCTCTTCTAATGCCATCCTAGCACTTCAAAATTGGAAAGGAAAAAAAAAAAAAAACCAAAACAGGTGGGGGGAAGAAATGACACTTGTTTTACTCACAAGGATAGGAGTAATGCTTGCTCTAGTTAACATTTGTTTTACAAGTCTGTATCTGTCATATAGTGGCTTCACAATATGTCTTTCTTCTCTAGTTACCTAAAGGCAGAGAAACCGCAGAATTAATTACACCAGTCGCTTAGTAATCTACAAGCAAACACAAAGTGCATTGCTTCTCATGCCAGGCCTCTACTGCATTTCAATTAGAAACATAAGACTAATTTAAATAGTGTATAAGATATTATTTTTTCCCACCAGATAAAAGAAGTGGGTGCTTCTTCCCCCGATTTCTCATTCCAATTCTGTGTTTTTCAGATAAAGTCTAGAAAAATTCCTAACAGTGGGGACAGCTGCAGTAGAGAAAAATGATCTATCTTTAAAAAAAACACAGAAAAGAAAAAAAGAGGGGAGAAAAAAGGGGTGAATCAAGAATTAGGGGAGAAGTCTTAGCAATCAACATTGATGATTCTTTACAAATTATACGGGCGGATGTCAAAGGAGGGAGAAAAAAAAAAAACGAAAAAGATGAAACTACAGAGGGAGATCTGATTTTACTCTCAATTCTTAATGACTACATGGGCTCAATTTAGCAGGCCAGCCTGAAGAATTCCTGGGATTTTCTCCCCCAAGAGACTGTAGCGCCAAGACCAGTAGCCCTGGGATCACTGCTCTGCCGCTCTTCGCTCTCGGTGCTGAAGGCCTGGGCAGACTCACATGGCAGAGCTGATGGTCTAGTTAATGCGTCAAACCCACAAGATGATACAGTAATAAGGATCTTTTGATTGGGCTAGTGATCCTGACCACTTACCAAAGTAAAATCCAAAATTTCAGAGACTGATACTCATTTATTCGAACTTCCATGTATCTATTCACATAGGATACACAGCTCATACTTGAAAAAGTGTCTTTGGTTTTGAAATACTGAATACACTTTTCAGGCCAGGACATAGAGCTTGTTTCTATGATTTCCCTCTATTTCACAGGGAACTATGGAACAAACTACATAAATTGCATTGGAAACTGCAATATTCTACCAATCTGTGGGAAAAGAGCCTACATAATCTTTATACAAAATTCTAATTTTTAGAACTTGAAGCAGTAGCTTCATCTAAAAGTAACATGACAATTGATATATAACTTTGTGCCTTTAGAAGAACAGTGTTAAACTCTGTTGCTGCTCCTGCAAGGAAGTTACTGCTGTCTGCACGTGCATTAACTTAATTGGATGAAGTAAACCAGGCATTACCGGGCGTCCATGCTGACTTTCATAATACAGGAGACTTTTCTGGAGAGATGTTTTCTCTTCTACCAAATGGTCCTTTGTCATTTTCTGTCAGAAGAACAATTCGCATCTAATCAAGCACATGCTGCTTCAACAGTTTAACAACTATGCAGATGCCTTAGATAAACTTAGCTTAGTAAATAACACATATCCCACCTCTATCCACTTAAAACTGCCCAATATTGTCAGTACTCATAAATATTTAATAAATATAGAGTAAGAAAAATGTGATTCAATTCAATCAGTTCCCCACAGAGTCTGAAATGGTAACTAGGCAGAGATATCATCTTATTGATAAAGTAATTTGTGAGGTGTTTGACAGTGCTCTATTATTCTCCGCTATTAACCTAGGAGCAGCCTAACCATAAGCTTACGCTTACTTTTATATCTTCTGGCAAACATCTTTCAACTCGTTTTTCCTTCAGTCTTTTCAAAATGAGTTCAAGTGTAGCTTCCTTGGAGGGCTTCTTCTCTTTCTGCACCACCCGCATCTCATCTTCATTTTCTTCATCCTCTTGGTCAAGAGAGGAGCCAAAGCTTTTTGGAAGTGTGTTACTCCGAGGACGTGTTTGAGGTATGAATTCTCCATCTGAGCTCTTCTGCTTCGAATCTGAAATGAGAAAAATCACAATTCAGAAGTTTAAACAAAATAGTTTTCTCAGTTGGTTTAATTGTGAATAAAGGATGCAACAGTTTCCACAAGCAAAGTTTCTCTTCCGGCAAACTAAAAACAAAGCCACAAGAATTATTTTATTTTGCTTTTATAATAGAATAGGTCAGAATCTAGAAATTAAAAGATACTCCCTGTCCCGTGGAATTTTTTTGAACAACACTTACCTTTTATTTGCTTTCTCAGTTTGGTAAGCTCTGTCATCCACTTCAAAACTTTTGGATTGGCCGCAATATCACTATAGGAGGGCTGAAAAACAAGAGAGGAGCCACATATGTCTCAAGTCAAACCCACACTAAAGCTTTTTATAAAGACTTCATTCAACACTTGACAGCGAAGGTGACTACCACCCAGGATGCCACTCTTAATACCAGCTCAAATCTCTGTGCCAGTGTAATGGACAACATCACTGAAAATAAATTTGAAACACAACACCAGAGATGCAACAAGTTTGAAGAAGCTTTCTTTTTTTTTTTTTTTTTTTTTTTTAATGGGTGAATAAGATCCCTTTTTTCCCCCCGCTCTATCTCGTCCGACATTCTCTGTCTCACTGCATAGATGTCACTGTCTGCCTTTCTTAGGGCTCAGGCATTATAGCTTATTTTCTGCTACTGCTGTTTTTCACTTTAATTGTGCAGACAGCAGCATATAACAAAATTATTCAAGTTAGTTACCTAGTACTGAAGTACTGGCAGTTGCTTAGCTTTACTATGAGATAATTTATCCAGCATAAAAGCAGGAGTGGTAACTTACCTTACTGTTTTTCTCTTTTTCAAATTGTTCCTCAAATTGCTTTATTTTTTTCTGTAATTTCTTGACAAGCTGATACGGAGTCTTGTCATCCCTTTTGTCATCTTTTGAGCTAAAGGATGCTCTTCGTGTTCTGTATTAAAAACATTTTAAAGTGTCATTTAAAATAATTAAACCAGTGCAAGTAACTGTATTTTTTGAGTAACAAATTAACTTTAGTATTTTCCCCTCAAGTTTACAACTCATTCTTTTCAAGCTTTCAGAGAGAACTATTAGTTTATTGAATCAAAATGCCTTGATCTTCTGCCTTCAAAGTGTAATGTATTATCTCTTTTCTTTCTAGTTTCTGAAAGATCTCTCAACACATCTATGTAGTTCAAGATACCAGAAAATACTACAAACAGTGCAGATCCTTATTAGTTTGAGAATGATGAGAAGAGCTGTTGCAATCATAATTTCCCTGCAGGTCACTCATCTGTGTCTTTTCAATAATAATGCTCAACCACACTTTCTTCAATAAATTTATACTGTATGGAGAATTAGTGAGAATTATCGTATAGAGATTCTGAATCTGATCTTTCCTGTTCCAAGTTTCCTCATTCTGTAGGATTATTCTTTTCCTAATGAGTATGAAAAGCTTCTTTACACTATTTCTCACGGCAACAGTATTTAGACTGTAGTGTCACCCAGTTATTTACAGTTTTGGAGGGTCACAATTTCCAATGTCATACAAACAACTTGCAGCTTCTTTAGTAAACAGAACTTTCACACAAAGGGATAAACGGTCTTGATCTTTTAGGCTGTTAAAAAAGGATCTGCAAGAAGAATCCTATGTCTTCACTGTACTGCTATCTCACAAGCTCTCCAACAATTCATGAGATCCCAAAACCCTTCAGAGAGAAGGCTTTCCAGTGCCCAAACGAACAGTCTTCCCAGGTTATTACTGCACACTTTGGTTGCAGTGATTTCCGCAGCTTGGTTCCCTTTACTGGGATCCTGTAACACACTACACGAAGCAAATCTGAAATAATGCTTCAGGAAAAGAGATATTCTTGCTACCAAGCCCCCTCCCAAAGTTACATAAAATCAGAGCCCAGCAGTTCAGTTCAGACTGAACTTAAGAGAAGATAAAAATACTTCTTCAGTCCAGGAAGCACCATTACAGTAGGTGCCAGCAGCGCTGACTGAATGCCAGGAAATATTTCCATAGGTTTGAACTATTTTTATACTCTTTCCTCAGTACCTGCCAGCAGCCACTTTCAGGGACACGACACCACCTCAGACAAACCTCTGGCCTGACCCCATAGGGCAGCTCTCAGGAATTCAGAACAGCCAAAAGGCCATATAAAGTTTGCTCTGACCAGAGCCTTTAAGTGATTATATCACCAAAACCCTTTAGGTTCTTAAACTGCAGTATTTTCAAACTGGCAGTCCCATCTCCTACCCCAATTCTTACCAAATTGTATTAAAATACACACCTGACAAAAGAAAGTGCTTTGGATGAAGAATCTAACGCTTCTGGATCATGCAAGAAACGTTGGCTTTGTCCAAAATCCAAACTACGATGAGACAGTACTGGGTGACAATCCTCTTCCAAGGGATGGTTGGTCATTCGTCCAGCCTGCGGGGAAAGCTGAGCCTCTCCAGATTCACTGTCTTCCTGCCAGGATTTGAAAGCAGGAAACGGATCTATAAGATAAAAAAAGGACACAGAATTGTACTCGTTTTAAAAACATTATAAACAAGAGTCAGAAGGAAACACAAATGTGCACCCAATGCTTAGTCTTGTATGCTATAAGGGATGTGGTGTCATACCCAAAGTGAATAAATACAGTGAAATACATCAGAAAGCAACAAATTCTGTCATATGAGAATTGAAACAAAAGGGTACTGAAATGAAGTATGCACACTAGGATCCCTTTTTCAAAGTGTATCTTAGCAATATGCATCCCTGAATGATTCAATAATGTAACAGTATCTTATTTACTGATCACAAATATGAAGGTTACAAGAAAATTATTCTCTGTTACCATATACTGTTGTGGAAACCAATTTTCCTAGGCTCAAATATAGGCTTTGGCTTTTTAAAGGAAAGCTTTTATTTAAATTCATCCGAACATCACTGAGAAAAAGAGATTTGTTCATTTCTGGAAGGTAATTTCTCTCTTAAGCAGGAGATTCCAAAACAATAGTACATCTTCTAATTGCCCATAAAAGCTAGTTACTAACATCCTTTACAATTCTCCAATACAATTTTCTTGCTAATAATAACAATAATAATTGTAAAAAAAAAAAGCTAACAGTCTTCCAAGCAGTTCTGTTGAAAATAAAACTCCTTTTTGCTTATTTCAGAATGCAGTTACCCATATCTTCCTGTGCAAATCAGAAATTTGAAAACTGGGTTCAAAGTGTGCAGAACAACAATAAAACCCACAAAGTAATCTTAAAAAAATATATGTAACCCTTGTACCTGCTTTCCATTGTATTGTTATTATTATTATTAAGAGGCTTTTGCTTTGTTTAAGCTAGAATCTTGCCTGTTTACACAGTTCAAGATACAAGAAGGGGAACTTAAAAAAATAAATAAAATAAAAGGTTTAAAAGAAAACAAAACTTGTAGATGAGAATATTCCCAAGACATATAAGGAACAGCAGGTGAAGGGTTAGTTAGAAAGCAAACCATAAACTATCAAAAGGCAGATAACTGAACGTATGGCGAACCATACTTACCCTCCCCTTCTCTCTGCAGATGCATTGTTTTGAAATCAATGAGGGGAAAAGTGATAGGGCATGGCGCTAATAAAATGAAAAAGAATGGCAAAAATACTAAAGTGAACACACAGCACAGTCAGAACAAACCATACATCACATGTAAAGCAGGAAGATACAGTACCAGGGAAAAACATCCCAGCTTTTGGGCTAGGCCCTGAGCAAAAACTTCCAAGCAAGTTCAGTGGCGGGTAAGGATGCTCAGCCCCGGGCAAAATTAAACTGCTTCCCAAAAAGGTTTACAAAGAACTGACAAGGGAATAGTGAAGACTTACTGTAGTTTAATAAAAGTCCCAAGCATCTCCATGTTAACAAAAATAAGTTCTAAACAGAGTTTTGCTCACAGCTCAGACAACAGCGATGGTAACAATTTTCAAGAAGCAGAGCAAACGCTGAAAAATCAGCTCAGAAATGTCAATTAACCGAGCTATATTTTCCGCCTATTAAGCCATTACAGTATAAATAAGCATGCTTATATTGAAGAGCAAAATTGGATATGGGCCTCTAAGCTTTCCGACACCAAGGTTTTAACATCAGAATTCTTGTAGAAGAGTTGAGCTCGTGCAGAGTGCTACAAAACCCCTCCACTTGCGTGGAATGCCACGGGACCTGCGCTGCCTTCAAGGCCAGGGATCCCAATAAATACTCTAAATAGGACTGAAAACCTCAAGAACTTCACAATGAAATACCACACCTTCCAGAATATCATGAGTTTACTACCCAAAAACATATAATATACAGATATTCTAATTTCCAATCAAGGTAAAGATCATAAAATTATATGGATATAGGAAATCAGGGTTTATTTTATGAGCTTGTGTGGATATAAGAAACCAATGTCTTTTATGAACAGAATTAAAGAAATAATGAAAATGGACGCCACAAACCTTATAGGAATATGTATTAAAGTGGGTTAACACAAATAGAGAGTGCAACAGAACACGTCAAGCAAACAAATAACATAAATAAAACAGAGAACCAAAGTTATCGACTTGAATAATGGGAACAAAAACCTGAACTCAGTGTCTTTAGATGCCTGTGACTCCTGTGACACGACACACTCCAAGTGAACCATGGAGAGGACCGGCCGGCAACACTGACAGATAGAGGTGAGCCAGGCCCAAATGGCAAACTCGATCGTTTTACAAAGGATTAAAAAGGAAACACAGATTCATGCAGGGAATTAACTGGGAAAACATGTAGAAGCAAGTAGAACACAAAAAGAAGTGCTGTCAACACCGGTGACAAACTAACAGCTGTCCCGGTTATTGCTAGCGGGGCTCCAGGACAAGGTTTTATGCCCTGTTGTTCTACAACTATAAGCTACTCTGCTAACCAAAGTACATCTCAGGAGTATTTAAAACATGGTTTAATGTTTGTAACACAGCAACCAAAAAGGCAATTGCATTCATTCTTAGTTACCAGGAGTTTATTAATATTTGATGGTGATGCCAATAGACATCTCAATAGATGTCACAGTGTTTTTAAGTAGGAAATAAATGGATTTTGATCATTTTACTGCTGGTGACAATTCATGGTATTTTAGCAAGCTGCATTGCTTGTATTTTTGTTAGGTGCAGATAAATTGAGGTTTCAGAATATCAGCAGGCAGAGGACAGGATATAATATATTTTAAAAATGTTCACAAGTGAGTAAGTATTTTGAAAACAGATAATGTCAAGAGGTTTTTTGGTTAGGGTAGACAGGGGTTGTGTTTCTACCTAAGTGTTAGGACAGCCTAAATGGTTATAGCCATCTGACTAATAAAGTTCAATAAAATTACAAGTTTGAGGACTTGCTAAAGTTGGAAGACTAACGAATTAGCAGCCTACAAAATGTAAAGAAAGCTCTGAGGCAAAACTATTTCTTAAAATATCGTTCATTCTGCAAATCTGTCTAAAATTCAAACAGGACATCAAACAGGGCACAAAGTAATAATACTTAGCTCTCATTTGAAAACTGAGAGCTGTTTCAATTTGTCTAATGACAAGAGAACCAACGTTTGAAATTCCTGATGTTTAAAACAACCAACATATTTTTCAGACTATATAACTACATAACTAATATAACTAGCTACATAACTAATATACTAACTACATAATTTTCAGGCTGTGTTTAGTCCAATTTAACTAGTATTAGTTAAGTCCAATTTAACTAGTATTAGAACTTAAAGATACTTTACATTAAAATATATATATATATATATTCATGAGAAGAATAACATGTGAATCACTGTATGACAAAAGCAGAGAAAGGATTTTTAAGGAGCTCGAGATGCACAGGGTTTTCAAAACCAAAGTTCCTTTCAAATTCCTACTATGACACTTAAATGTTTTGCTATCTACAATTGCTCTTTTAAAGTTACTTTTTTCTTTTCATTTTTAAATGTTTTTTTATTAGTTAGAACTTATCGTAACTTGGCCCATAGCACAGGTATAGAAATGCATTACTTGGACAAAATTAAAGAAAAAAGCTCAGGTTGCCAAACTGCTTGCTCTACTTTGTTAAAACACGTTATTTATCATGAGTAACTACAGTGCAAATGAAAGGGTGAAAATTACCTTCCCATTTGTCACCATCAGATACATTCTTCAGATCTAGACGTGGTACTTGGACACCCACAGCTTCCTCAGAAAGATGACTGCTGCCATCCCCTGACACCTCTGAATCAGTATTGGCATTAAGATCACAAGGCTTGCTGGTTGAATCCTGTGTTTAAGTAATAGACCAGAACAATTCCATTATTATTTAGCAACTGGAAATCAAGTAATTTTTCAAGACTTGTTTCAGCACCTCTGAAAGTTTTCTGGAGGAAAAAATTTTTTTTTTAAATTAAAAACCAAAATAAAAAAAACCCACTATCTCAAGTAAGGATACTCCATGAAGGAGTATCCTAGGAAGGATACCTCAATACTCTCTATTGAATAAGTATCTTTAACTTATCCTTAACTACAAACAAAAACTTCCACAGTAGTAGTCAGTTACCAACCTTTTTAAACATTCTTTACACCAGAGGCACAAATATAAGCCCACTGTGGTGCCAAAAGTTTATCTGCAGCCAAGTGATAATCTCTCTCAAAGAGATTATGCAAACATAGTAGTTGGACAGCAAACAGAAGAAATATTAAAGCTTTTTTTTTTCCTTATCTCTATTTAAAATAAACTTACAAAAATGTATTTGTATACAAATTAAGACACCAGCTTACCAGAAACATCTCAGAAGATATATTGTCACTGCCATCAAGCAATACACAATTTTCCCTGAAAATAGGAAACAGGTTATTGATTTTAAGTATAAATTGCAAATGGTGAGCAAAACTTGAACAGTCTCTCTACTAGCTTTTCTTAGACACTGCAGTCCAGTTTTAACAGATATGCAACACATTTGCTTGAACCGATAATTAATATTTTGGATTGCAGGTGTTACATTACTCCTTTTTATTTGTTCTTCACACAAAATTTCAAACTGAAGCATGTAAATAACAATTTGTCTTAAATTAAATGAGAACTAAAAAAACAGCCCAAACCTTTCATTATTCCCAAGCTGGGAATATTTGGATTTCAATTGTACTCTACCTGAAATCTCAGTCAATGATGAACCCAAATCGCAGATGAACTAAAAAACCCCTAGACGGCCACTGCATTACCAGTATTCCAACACCGTTAACAGTGTCACATCCCAAAATGATTTAAAGAAAACAACATTTTTCCTTCAATTTGTTTTGCCCAGAACATAGGGTTATTTGAAAAACATAACACCACAGGCATAGGTTTGTTCCAAGTTTCTCTTTTAAATTAATGCATTTATTTCATCATCATAAAACAAAAAAACACTCCATTTCATCCTTGCTCTTTTTACATGTGTGAAATTGGGCCTTTCATTTTCCCACCCACACGTCACACTGCTATAACAAACACGCCTGTGGCACACCTAGCTTTTCAGTTTGTTATCTGAAGTTAGTTAACAATCAGAATCAGCACAATTTAATCGGAAGTTAAAGGATGTGCAGCTTAAGCAACAAATGAACCAAATTCCTACCTTTCACTATTATTTTCACCATCAACTTCGGCATCTTTACTGCACGGTTTCAATAATACATCTGCAGTCTGTTGGCAAAAAGTATGTTAAGAAAGATTTAGCAACAGCATTCTTAGCTGAAAACATTTCTGTAATGATCACTGACCATAAAAGCCCTCAAGTAAAAAGCCAAAGGTTGTTTTATATTTATATAAAAGGACATAGCAGATAAAGAGTTTCCATCTTCAGATGAACCATTTTCTACCTGTATTTTTTTTAGGATACGGACAAGGCTTTCACTACCAATGCTCAGACATAGCATGAGGTTTGGGGTGACTAAAATCTTGGCAAGAAGTATATCCTTGCCTTGAAAGCACCCTGGATCCAAACTTGTGCTCAGCATGTGTAAAACGAAACAAGTCTGACAGACTTTCTGCAAGGAACTACTAATCCCTGATACTAAATAAAGCACCACCAGAACTGCAAGGGATGAAGAATTGCTGGCAGTTATTCTATGACACCATCTCACAAAATAAGTTCAGACGAATACACATCACCATTTTGTTCACTGAGGCTGGCAAAGGAAAGACTGATTACTTCAAGGACCTAAGACTGATCACTTGAGCTATTTAAGCTGAAGGCCAATACTTGCTTTCCCCATCAAGTGCCTTATTTGGAGGAATCAAGTGTCTTGAAATATATCCTCCTTAAACAACATATCCCATTTGATTTCAGATTTTCAGCTCTCACTGAAAGTCGAGTTTTAAGATGTATCAACATAAAACAAAAGATCAAATAGGCAAATATATTTCAAATATACATTACACACCAGACTGATGTTAATATTTGCCCTTTACCAGGCAGAACTCCACTAGTCTGTTTATAGAACTTCAGTCCTCTGGCCAAATCTCAAATGAAGGAGTCTATTCCGAGACACAATGCATGTGCCATACCCCCAGCAGGTCATTTTCACACTAGAGACAAGTGTGCAAGTCTGACACGTTCACACTGGTGGTAGTTGTGGAACAGCTGCCTCTGCTTCCACTTCAGACCCAGAGAAGGGCTCACACACAAGAGTGTGTTCAACTTGTATTTCTGCCAACCCTATATGCCAGCTCCTAAAACCCCATTCAGGCAGAAGGATCACAGTGCATTTCCTTGTAGAGGCCACTCTAACATTAAAACTTTACAACAAACTTTGAAATGGCACATTAACAAGAAGCTAGAACTAACATATGGAAGAAAAGTTTTCCTCCAAGCCTTACCATTGAAGTTGATGGACAGAAATATGCCAAAAAGCAGAAAAGGCTGAGAACAGTACTACATTATAACTCACATTTCTCAGCTGTTCTTTCACCAAAACCATTGAAACTGCAGAAATACAGTGAAGAATCATGGGTTTAGAATTTTTGCTTCTCTATCTGCACTTTTTGAGTTTTGATTTCTGAGGCTCAACATATATTTTAACCAAGAAATGAAGAGGAAGCAAGGAGAGAGTCAGCAGTTACTATGAGCAATCCATTTTCTCTTGCTCGTGAAGACTTTCATTGTAAAAAGATTCAAAAACTAAAAGAAATGTTACTTCAGAGGAAGAAAAAGAGGTGACTTCTTAACAACCTGTCAAGACTGACATATGGCAGCAGTGTGCAACTCTTCCCTGTACATTCTGAACAGTTCTTGCAAACACAGTATTTCACCTGGATTTAATAAAACATCACACATGTTACTCCAACCAGTGCTGTGCGTGCAGATTTATTACTTACCTCAGCAAAAGGAAGGGCCAGTACCTGCGAAAGAGAAGAAAACCATTAGCCAGTGTCCCGACAAGCTGCAAAGTGCACAAGAACTTCTCTGTACATTTCTAAGAGAAACCTGCACAGCAAAAAGAGGAATTAACTGCACAAAGCAGCACAAAAGCACCAGAGGCCAGGCTCTCACCTGAAGGTTTTCTTCCTCCTCAGTCACCGTGTCCTGTTTTAGAACAGCACTGTCCACAGTGGTGCTGGCCAATATTTCAGAGCTGTCTCCTGTGTTCTTACTGCTACCAACGTCATTATCTTCAACATTATCATTATCAACATCATTCCTAAAGAGACAAATAAGAAAATCTTTCAGCAGTCTGTTCTTTTGCTCTTCAAACAATTTAGTAAAGCCTTTGCCTTCTTTCTCTCTCTCAAATTCCAAACTACTTTTAGAAACACTTTCCTTCAATCAGATACACAGATATTAACAGCATGGCTTCAAATTTTACATTTTACCTCATTTTTTCATAATTCCTGAAATTACTTTAAGCTAGTGTGGTGAATTTGCATTGGATTGCCACTTTTTATTTTTAATTAACTCTTTTATAAATTATTACTTAATCGGAAGTACTTCTCTGTAGCCTCCTGGCTGCACTGCTTCAAAGGACCCAAATAACTTCTTTCAAGAATGGAATCATATATCATCTATTATGGTTAATCCACAGCGCTATAACAACCATAAGCATTTGAAAAACAGTCCCAGTATATGGGTTTCAAGTCTGCAGTGATGGTACTTTTAGCCTCTGCTGCTGTCAAGTGATACAATTTTAAAAGCATTTATTTTGTAACTGAAGAAATTCAACAACTACAGATCTTGCAGGTGATTGCAGACTAGCCCATCAACTCAAGCATATTAAATCATTAACATTAAAACTCAAGTTATAATTGATCGTTATCATCAGTGATTATTGCTACTGTCCTATGAAAACTTCATGTTGATTACTTCAGCCACAGTTAAGGCTCAAAAATACTAAAGATTTGGAAAACAGTATTTGAATCTCTGAACATTTGACGTTTCAGATTCCAAGCCACAAAGAGACCGCGCACTGAAGTCCTATTTAATTAACTGAACTAGGTTTTTTTTGAGTTTGGTTATTAAACACCAAGTGTTTTTGTTAAAACACTAAAACACAGCAGCTTTTCATAGTCTGCCAATCACTACACCCACAGAGTTCCGATAAAAATAAATGCTGATCAAATGGGACAACGCCATGCAATAAATCCAAATTGCTCCTTCTGATCAGTTTTAGATGTTCTGTTGATACAGGCAGGCAGAGCAGTCTAACAGCTACACTGTTACTGCTGCAAAAGGAGCACTAAAACAGAGGGCATCTGCAATAATTTTGTGTAATAAAACTGATCCACAGTAACACAAGCAGAATTAGAATGAAACTTGCTCATGCTACTTACAGTTCAGCAGTGAAGCAGTTATACACGGCAATATTTTGAGCTAATATCATATGATCTATTTAAAATATTTTTAACAGCTGTTGATTACTGGCAAATGATAGAAGCTGACTTAGCTCAAAACACAATATAATTTCAAGTTAATGACAAAGCTTTTGCTTTGGGCTGATGGTCAGAACAGGGTAGATAGTTTGAGAAAAGTTTAGATATGAAATCCTATGCAATTCATTAGAGATAAAAGAATTCTTACTGGTTGTTAGATCCTTCTGCATCCCCGTCGGGGTTTTCTGCTTCATTGTTACAGCCCAATCTGTGTTGCTGAATATGCTTAAGATCGTGATCTAAGCTGCTCTGCAGATCGAAAAGGTGCTGTTCTACAGCCGCTCTGATTGTTCTTTCTAGAATGCTAACAAAGAAAAAAAAAAGGCTGAAAATTCACATTAGGAACATCATCTTGCATTGATCAACTATGTAGAAAGGCAGAAATACCATCTCTTAAAAGATAAAGGAATCTTTGAGGCTAAGTACCTCAAGTCAAAAACAGACTAGTCTTTCCCAAAAGATGATTGAAATTACTGGATCTATTATCATTCATTAAGATTTACACAGGGAAGTATTATGAAGTCTATTAACAGTGTTTCAAGAGAATATAATTAACTCATTACAATCATTAACCTATTTAGAAAAGAAAAAAAAAAGGAAGGAAAATCACTTTATAATTTTGGAACTGAACGCATATGAAACATCTAAGTATGAAAGCAAAACATTCAGAAATCCAGATGCCACCATACTGTGCTCCATGTTTCTGCAGTCAACAGCATGGACAGAGACAGTGTTAGTTCCTTCATAAGCACTAAACTCCATAAAATGAAATACTTTGCACTAAAAATGTGCTCATTCGTAACTGTAATAATCAAGTCTGCTGCATTTCTTTTTCTTGAAAACAGACCTATCATCACAAATTTTAAGCAACACCAGGAATCACACATTCTATATTCTCATTATACTTACTCTGCAGAGGCTGGCAAGATACTTATGGGAGAGATGTGAGCACTGCAATAAAAAAAATAAAAAGTTCGTGTAAGACAAAAAAAACCTGTGACACTAAACAGAAGTTTTCAAGACAACATAAAATAACTTTGCAAATACTAATAATACTGCACGTAATTAATGTAATTAAAATAACTATAAAGGAAACACACATATTTGCATTATTTTGCCTGGTAATTATTTAGATGGAGAAGCTTTAAAGAATGCCACCATGGCACAAAGCTACAGAAGCATCAATGCAGATTTCTGTCCCTGGAGGGCTCAGCACCTTACAGGGCTCGGAGCCGTCAGAGGGAGGGCCTTTCCCTTGGGAAACACTAATCGCTGGATCTCGAAAGGCCTCCTGACATCTTGCTTAAGAATGCAGATTTTAACCTTGCTGCCTTAAGCAAATTCCAAATTACTTTGCTTCCCTCTGAAGTTGCAATTCAGAGAGACCTTCACTGACTGTCAGACTGTTGCATATTTTTGTTCTACAACGTTTAACAGATGCTGCTGCAGACACCAAGGACAGCTATATTTCAAGTGCAAGGCACATACCTTCTAGTAGGTTTTTGGACAAAGTTAGTCATTTGTAAAGCAACTAGAAATCTCTGAGCACTAGTCACTTCAGGATGAAATTTTTAACTCTTGCATAAATTAAGTATATTTACACAAAAGTTCAAGAAATTAACTCATGGACATGCTCTCCCATTTCCCATTAGTGTGATTAATTGTCATCGCTGGAAACACAACACCTATGAAATTTTAGGAAAATTGATATTAAAACATACTAAAACAAGAGAAAAAAACTGCACTATAAATATAGCAAGGAGTTGTCACACATCTTATTCAGGCAAACTTAAGTATTAATTTCATTGGGGCAGGGGAGCAAAACCACAAGATTTCCTTTTGCCTTAAACATAAGGCTCTCAGGTCGCAGGAAAGTGCATTGTGTTTGAATTATACTATGTAAAGCCATTAACAAAGCTGGTAATTAAAACAGCCAATTTTGCTTTGCAATGGCCACATGCTTTGGAATGAAACTTCTTTTTTCTACTTTTTTTTTTTTTTTTTTTTTAGGAAAAGAAAAACCTAGAGCAGAGCTGTTCCAAATGCTCAGATAAAAAAGCCAGCTAATAGTTCAATACAGATGCTGCCAGACAGCTTCAAAGAACGTATCTGAAGTTGAAGCTTGATCTTGTAGCTGCTAATTTCAAAGCTGTATCAAACAACTAGAAGGGTTTGAACACACTAACATTTCTCTTTTCTTTCAATCCCAAACCCAGGAGTTCAGTGCGGCCCTAATATGGCATAAAGCGTTAGAGCTCCCTGATCAACAATTTTTGTTTTGACATCACTTGAAACAGAAAATGAAGAGGTCAAGCTATGAGTTCAGCCCCATGAGCAAGATATAGAAGTGAAGGACAAGCAAGAATCTCAGAGGAAAAAAAAAATTCAAAACAAAAACCCAGAATCCCAGAATTTTCAGTAATTCTAAGAGAGCTTCCCTGCAAAAGCTATGATAACTTTCAAAAAGAACCTGTATTTTTTTTTTTAAAGGAAAATAAGTTTACTCTTAAAGTACAGTCACTTCTAGGACACAGGGGAAAGAACGAGAGGCGAGTGCATAGGACACTGCAACTCATGAGAACGGAGCAAAAAAATTCAGTCAAGGGCACAAGTACAAACACTATTTATAGGAAAACGATGCCCTGGAATCCTTTTCTTCTACCACTTGAGACTATGAAGAACTATGTCAAGAGTGGAGAGAATAAACTCATCTCCGAAGAGCCCAAAAGATTTCAGACCTGGTTTGTAACAAAATTTTCCATCGTACAGAGTAACCTTCAGCCCCTTCAGAGCAGCAGCATTCAGCACTGCTTTTATTAAATACCTTTGGATGCATTAGAGGTGCTCAGCAAAATATGTGCATAAATCAGCGCTATTCCCAAGCCTGAAGAATCCTCTTACTACTAAATAATATCTTACGTCTTCAACTAATCACTTCAGCAATTAAGCAGGTTTTGAAGAAAATGCATCAATCACTTTCAGCTGAAAATCCACCAGAACAGACGTGCAGTGCTCAAGAAGCCTTATTTAAGAGCTGTCATTATCCTCAACGCAGCATGACACAGCACGACACAAAGGTAAACATCTTCCTCCCGTAATGCTGAGAACCCTTTTTTTTGCACTGTCTCCCTGCCTAGAAGCAGCCCGGGTAAAAAGACAGCTTGAAATGGAAAAATACTGTAACTGCAGACAAAACACTACAAAGTTCTTCTTGCAAACGTACTGAGTACATGTAAGTTCTTATTTCTTATTAAAAAAATAAGATAAAATCAACAGTGCCGTTACTTAATTTCATAATATCCCCAAAACACATTTCATCTCACACATTTAAATCAAAACAAGAGCCTCTTACGTGCAATCATTCCCAAGTAATGCCTGTCTTTAAGCTCTTTACCTGTGCAGCAGAACTTTACAGGCCATTCGGATGATTTTTGCTATCCCGAATGAGCACTTGAGGTAGAAATGCTTCATTTGCAGCAGAGCCAAGCGGGAAGGTGCCTGGTGGCCGTGCATGCTGCTCGCCGGCAGCGCCGCGAGCGCTGCGCTACAGCCCGCAGTCTAAATAGAAAATCGACTGCAACATGAGGTCACCCCCAACAACACGCTGCCCAATCAACATCTGAAAGCTCCTGAACATGTTGGGCACAGATTTGCTAGGACTGCAGCGGGGGACAAGTATTTGGATGTGAAACAGAGAGCATAAGCACAGTGATTTTATTATATTCTCCTGCAATCTGATCCAGTGATGACTGGTTTCTATTACACCCTCTATGTGTATATACATATATATATATCATATATATATAAAAACCCCACACACACCTTGTGCTGTTTGTTTTCTTAGTTTGTTATGTCCTCTCTCACTGACCAAGCTAACAAACATTAACAACACATATATCACATAAGTAGTCAAGAGATCCTGCTCGTCGTTGCATTTGACATGCAGAAATCAAGCTCACTGCTTGTCACGTCTCATCGTTTTATACATTTAATTTTGAAAAGCTCAAAGATCATGGTGCAAGTTTTATTTTAGGGGCATAACTGACAATATCAGGGATGAACTGCAGATGGTCAAATGATTAACAACAGGCAAAGAGTAGCAATGAAAAAAACCAGCATAAATAAAGGCAGAAATTGATTCTAGGGTGATTATTTCAACAGCACCTCGAAAGTGCCCTAAAAGGGCCCTAAAGATCACTCAAAAGGTTCTGTTTAAATAACATTTTCAGGCAGTCATTACAGCAGACTGCATCAGGGAGGATCCACCTTCTCATCAGCCCTCGCTCACACACACGCAAGACAAATTAACACCAGGAGTGCCTGAAGGTCATCGGGTTTTAATAGAAAGAGCAAGTCAAGAAAAAATTAAGTAGCAAACAATTATAAGCATGTTATGACTGAAGTATTTGAAAGGAAGATGACCTTTCTTGTCACGTGGATCAGGATGTCTCTAACAGAAGAAATGGCAACCTTTTCCTCAAAAGTTTCCATAGAGACCCATAACATATGGACACTTGGTTCCTGAAATCTGACATTGATGCAACCAGACTCCAAGTTAAAGAACATTAGAATCATGTTTTCAAGATACAGTTTTCTTCCTTTCCCCTAGGCAGTCCCCACATCAGTGCAGGTAACTCCAGAAATGTGCATTACCATGTGGTAATGGACCCAACCATGAAACATTTAAGCTTGCAAACACAAACAATACATTGATTAAAAATCTATTAAAACATATTTTCTCATTCAGTCTGTATTATGTCTTATTAGATGTTTCCTACAATAGTTTTGGCTTGACAGTCAAAATCCTCTTTCTTACTCTAAATTGTTCTTTCATATCACTTCCCACAAACTATGCAAAATACTAACCATAAATAATACGTTTTAATTTTTAATTAAGCCTAAAAATAATGCAAAAATGTATTTCTCTTCAGGCTATCAAATTTAAACTCCCAAATTTATGGAGCTTGTCACTATTTCTGCTCTTAGACATTCCACAAATACCAAAACACCAATGAATTACACAATGGTTTTAAAACTTTAACTGGAATAAGGTACGTTTGCAGAAATTGAAGTTTCAGGAACTTCTCCGGTCTGATAAAATTAAGCAACTATATTGCTGACAAGGATAATTAGCAATTACACTATAATAAAACAACCAAATCAGGTTTATTCCCTACCCTTCCCTGTAAGCCATTACCTGAAATAGCCAAAGCAAACACATGCCACAGAAAGCTGTAAAACTCCCCGTAACACTATAAACACAACACTATAAACTATAAACACAAGTAAGATAGGCTTAAAGATATAAACCTGTGCATCACCAGCAAGCAAAATATAAACATGTGTATTATAAGCAAGTGCAAATAAGGTCTCAGATAGAAGTATGATATTAAGTTGACGTATATGCTTTATGAGGATAAGTCTTAATTAAAGACTAACTCCCACTAATACTCCTGCCCTTATTAGACTTTGCAGCTTCCAGACTTGCTCCTTGCCTGCCTATCCAAACAGATCCCTTTACAGGGTCACACTCCAAGGTAGATAATACAGGACCCTCCAGCTTCATCTGGAATTACACCTGTTTAGATCCAATAACTCTTTTCTAAAATACAGTCATGCAACCAACTCACATCTAAGCATTAGTCGTGATACTCCTACATTCATGTAACAAAAAGGCATCAATCCCTGAGTGGAATTTATCTGGTAGAGTTTAAATAAACTGAAGAAGGGTCTTTATCTATTTTACAAACACATCAACAAGACAAGTTTCATTACACTGCATGAAAAACGAAGTATCCAGCACCTTCATTTCTGCTCAAATTAAGAGGCCTGGGGAGATTCTCCGGGTGAGCAAATCAAGTTTTGCTAGCAGTTCGTTTTAGAAATTCCATTTATAACCTCACAAAAAAAAAAAATCTAAAGTATTCAAGATTTTTCCATACTACTGTTACTAACAGCCATTCCACAGCCATATTCCTCTAAAATCCAGGAAACTATCCTCCAAATTCCAACCTAAAAATCACTAACGGTCAATATTATTCTCTTGTTCTCATCAATATCGTCCACTTGGCCATAGATAGGTCCTCCTCTGCCTAAGCAAAATACTGCTTTACGATTCCATTAAAAAAACGCTCTCTTTCCCTTTCTCCTCCTTTTCTAAAGTGGTGATTAAATCACCACGTTTAATTCAATTTAGGTTACAGAGTCATTCCTTCACTGAACTTGAGAACAGCTATTTTGTTACACGCTTTCTACAAGAACTCCTCCTACTCCTAGAGCCTTTTCTCAGACATTGCAATATATCTCAAGTGTCTCTCAGCTTCTCACGCACAACTGACCCTACTCCGAATGTAAAAACAAAAGTTTAAGGAGGAAGCAAGTTACCTTGCTGACGCTGTAACACTCTTGGAATCCGAGATGCTCTCAGTCATGTCTAGATGCACCTCAGCTGGCCTTGCAGCAGGTTTCTCCGTGCCATCTTCTGGAAGTTCTTCAGACTGCTCAAGCTTGACATCTTCCTCCTCTTCCAAGAGATCATTTATCTGTGCAAAGATTTATTCAAAATTAATATCTTAAAAAATCATGTGAAGAGCGCTGTGGAATTAAAAGAGCATGTGAATTACAGAAATACCTGTATTTGTAAGAAGAGAATATATTTTATGAGAACTGGGCACAGAAAACTTGCTTTTAAGTAAAATCATACAATAGATAACCTACAAAAATGGCATAAAAATTTACAATTTTTAACAAAAATCTGCCAAAAGCTGCACCTCTGAGGCAGTAAGTGTGCACGAGCAGAATCACAATAAAATTCCAGACACACAGAAATCACATGGCACAAAATCCAGCTATAAAACATGGATGGTAATTCTCATCTATCCCACAGATATTACAAGATTCATTTATATCCGAGAAGCATTTCAAAACCTTCTATGGAAGGCAATACAGAACTCTGACTCAAGATTTTCCATGCACTGAACAAATGTTTATAATGAGGACTGCAAAACTTGTTTCTGTCAAGCCCATTTTGTCTGATATTTCTTGTTTCCAAGTGTAGGGGATGTTTTTAACAAAACAGTAAAACACAGCCAATTAAGAAATTAAAATAATATAGCCAACCAACAATCAGAGCTATCACTTTTTTTTTTTTTTCCTAAAAGCCAAAATGCCTAAAGCTTCCAAAAATGTGAACCAGTAAGGGGATTCTATTTGATTCCCCAAAACTCCTTGATTGATGTGGCAATCTCCCAAATCTGTAAAGCCAAGAAAATAAAAGCATCAGCAACAGCCTCCAAAAAAAAAGATGCTTCATAATATCCACCACTGGAACAGAAAAATGCTGAAATAAGAGAAATGAAAATGCAAGGAGCTTAAGATTACGCAGAAGGGAGAAAAGAAATGTATTCTCTGCTATTTTAAGCGGGGGGTATAATGTTATGTTACATTGCACTATAAATCAGATGTAGACATTTATTTACCCCGGAGTTCCTTCTGTAATGGCAAGAGGACCTAATAGGGCAGCAAGGGCAAAGCCAGCAGTGCCCAGGAAAGTGTCCTGTGGTCCCCAGGGAGGGTCCCCAGCAGGAGAGCAATGTCGACACCTGCTGGAGAGGACCTGGAAGGGACACCCGGCTGGGCAGGACACTCGCTCGTGTTGGGAACAGCTTTTGCTAAGAGGGCGAGTGAGTCATTTTTATGAAGTACGAGAGCCCAGACCAGCTAACTGCACAGAGCAGTCACCCTAGCCCAAAAGGGGAGCGCTCAGCCTCGCGCTGAGCTCCCATCCCGGGCAGAAGGCAGCGCCCTGTGAGCAGCAGCCCTGTGTTTGCTCTGCGCTCCGCGCGTCTCGCTAAGGGCTGGAGACGCACCCAAAGCTGCAGGTTTGGGGCGAGAGCAGCGAGCAGAGGAGCAGCTGCTCGAGGCAGCGCTCGCTGCCCACGCTCGCCAGTCCGCGCCGACGGCAGCTCCGTTGCTGCAGAGAGGCGCCCGTGGGCTGCCCTGCTGCTCGCTGTCTGTCACACTAGGTGTGGGGTAGTTAGGCTCACAAGTTCCGTATTTTGAGGCATTTTACTCAGCATCTGCTGTCAATTCCACCTTTTCCTCCCTAACAATTCTCTGTTTCCTATTCACAGTATGACGTTAACATTATGAAGTTAATTGACTGAGAGGAAAGTCTTCCAAAAATTTGATAGAGGGATTCACCAACAACACAACCCAGTGGAAGGCAAGACCCTGCGTATTTCATATTGCATATTCATGTGCATATTACACAACCAGATATATTAGAGACCACAACTAACAAAGTATGGTTTTGCTATCACTTACAAATCTGTTCCCCATTCCTAAAAGGTAATTACAAAGCTATATTACTTATACAGCAAAACACTGACTAGGTTGGCCTAGATATTACTGTTGTATTCACACATGTGCACTATTATGCACACTCCAGCTATCCCCCTCTTACTTCAACGCAACAATTTCACAAACACAGGTATGCAAAAAAGTGTTTAATACTTAACCTTCATCAGTTTACAAGAGACTACTGAAAGGCACATTAAAGAATATTATATTTCAACATATCTTTCATAAACATAAATGGTTAAAATGGACATCTAAGTAATAAAATATTGCCACTTAAAATATCCTTACCTGCTCAGTTATTGAGCTTAAATCATTAGTAGATGAAAAATCTTCCTCTTCATTTTCAAAGAATTCATAGTAGTTCTCCAGAAGTCCCGCCATTATTCTGCTAACTATTTCTTGTTCTTTCAGATCCTCCACATCTGTGTAAATGCTAAAGATTCCAATACTATCTTAGTTTGAAAATCTAAATCCAACTAATTCCCCAAAGAACTCCTGTGAATGACATCTGAAGCCTACACTTTTCACCATTCTCCCTGATCTACTGTAAATACAGAGAACTTCAAAAATAACTTCAAACTATTGCACTACAAAATTTTATGCTAACATATTTAATTGATAAAGCAATAAATATTTAGTCAATAAACTTTTCATACAGAATATTTGAAAGTCTAGTAGTTTGCTGTAGAAAGGAATCCCTAGAATACATTCACACCTTAACAGTTCTCTTCCAGCACGTTTTTTTCCTGTAAAAAAATAATCTTGCACACTGTCATTTAAAAAAAAAAAAAAAAAAAAGTCTAACTAAAGTAATCCAAACAACCAAACCAGTGATTCCATCAGTACAGCTCACAGGCAAGCTGTTGTTTAGATCACAAGCACAATCTGCAAGTGAAAAATCACCTGGGTGATAGAAGGAAAAAAAAAAAAAAAAAAAAAAAAAAAAAAARGAAAAAAAGACACTACCCAAAATATACACCACATATTTGCTGCTGTTACTAATGAACCAGGAAAAACTCTGGACAGAATTATCCTTTCAAATGCCTATAAAAGTACTGCATGAACTGCATGAACTTTTAAAATCAACTTACTGAAAGACATCTGGGCCAAAGACTGCAGCCAAAGAACTTGCCGACCAAATTTCTTCATGATGCGATGCTACGTTGGCTAAAAATTTGCACAGAAACTTTAGCAAACTGTAATTCACAGGTGGAAGCTGCTGCAAGAGGAACCTCAACTTCCTTCCAAATTCATCTTCATTATTATAATCTGTAAAATGCAGTAAAACAAAATAATCACAAGGTTAAAATATTTGATTTTTTCCTCATTTGATATTGATAAGACTCAGACAAAAATTACTCACTGCTGAAGTATAAATACTTTGGCCAGACTGGAACCTAAAACATCAGGATTTGAACTGCATTTGCTTGGCCTGAGTTTTTAATATTCAAATTTTCTACAGAAAAGTCAACCCAAAAGAAACTTAAGCGTCCATCCCACATAGCTAAGGGATATTTACTGCAGTAATACTTCCTAAATAATCTCTCTACTTGTCCCAGCGTTTGGCTCTCTCATTTCAGTCCTGGAATTAGTCTTTCCCTCTCCAAGCTATTCAAGACAGGTAGTTCCTATTTGCTATTCAGATATCCTCCAAGGATGGAAGGAATTGGAGGAACATGCCAGAAAACCTCTACAGTCTTGACTTCAAAGCAGCTACTTTCTCTAACTATAAATTTCATTTCTGTAGTGAGGCAGAAATCAATATTCCAAACCAACTACTTCCACTGCACTTCAGTTAGTAAAATCACTTGCCTTCAAGGCACCACCACTAGGCCTGCACAGAACAAGCCTTGAAGGGTCTGTAGGCCACATTTGTCATAGAACTAAGTTGTGTCAAAAAAATAGTTTAACCTAATGATACAGCAGGTCTGCTAAAAGGAGACATTACCATATACTATATCTGGATCCCAAATTGCTATCATCATCTGCATTTTATAAGCAATCCCTCTAAGTTGCAGCTGATTTCATAATCCTAGAAACTAATAAACACAGATAAGGCTACCTGGCAGTCAAAATGTCAAAAGCCAAAAACCAGAGTAGAGGAAAACAAACCTCTATCAAGAAACAATATTTATGGGTTTACCTGTAGCAAAGAAACAAAACATAAGCCTTCTTAAAATCACTCTTTTTTTTGAGGGTGGGGACAGGGGGCAATGTAAAATAGAGAGAGAGAAAAAACCAGCAAGCTGTAATTACAGCAAGCTACAATTTTACGTGAAATACACAATTTCTCTGCCTATTTAATCAGTGGAAAATAAAGTGGGAAGTATGTGCTGGAGCGCAGCTCTCCTTCTCAAACAACCTACATGCAAATCCTTCCAGTCATCTATTCAAAGATGGAAAAAATATCCTCATTTTCACACTATAGTTTACAAGTCACAGAAGGAAATTACACTGTCATTACACCAAATGAGCACACCACATTTCCATTTCTAGTCCTGCTAAGGTAGCAGTGCAGGTTGAAGCACAAAGCAGTATTATCTGACACAAAAAAAGAAAGGCAACCAGCAGCACTACTGCTGCTTAATTTCATTATCATCTGTGTTATATACCAGCCTTTTCAGAAGGCTAAAACTAGCTTCCTAGCTGCTTAGATCCAGTGAACCCTGAACTTATCACCAGAAATCAAACAGCAGATGCATCACTCGTGAAATTTTGTCTATTGACATCCATTTCAGTTGCTCATTACTGCACTGCAGCACAAGTAAGTGCACAGAACCTCAACCTTAAGATACTTAACAAGTCTCCCCAGTCAAAAGCTGACAGAAATTGCTTCCAGGGCAAGTCTACTTTTAAGCCACACATCAGTGTTGAGTCTCTGATTGCTGCCCATCCAAATACCCACTCCAGGTTCAAAGCTTCAGTGGGTACATGGGTTGCAAAGGGACAAAACTGAAGCAGCTTCTCATTCTTGGAGACCACCCTCCAGTTTGCATTTATTAAGCTCAGCATAACGACATAGGAAAAAACACTCTGAACAAAACAGGACTAAAATGAGGGCTGGCAGCTGCTTATCAGGAATAAGCTCAGCAATGGAAAAATAAATTAAACACAGACAAAAATGTGCTTCTTACAAAGCCAAACAAGCCAAGCACATGAAAAGAAAGACTAATCAACCCTGGAAAATCAGTAACACTCCTGTTGATCTAGGACTAACAAAGCCCTCAGGTATGTTACAAGGTGTGGAGCACTGACATCTACATACTCTTTGGGGAAGGCATTACTGATGAGATTTTACAAGTCAAATTATGAATTAACTCCCAATACTACATAACCCAGCAGAGGCCAAAGGAGACAGGAGAGTGGATACATATAGACAAGCTGGGAATTAGAAAAACACTGTGCAGGACATCAGTGCATCTCAATTAATTGTTTACTACCTTGCGAAAGTTGCATCAAATGTGTGTGCAAGCTGCCTGGAATAACTGGCTCTGGAAGTTCTTGAAGAAAAAATCTAAGAAGGCTGATAGCTGAGGGTACATCTGCTTCCTTAACCAGGTCCACATCTTCTCCATTATCATACCGCTGCCGAAGCCACTCCACTGTTTCAGCATTCCCATTGACTTGAAAAAGTCCTTCTTGTTCCAGACCCCCTAGGTGAGAAGAAAGTTGCAAAAACAAGCTTTTTGACATATTACATACTCATTATAGATCCAAACACTACTGACGCACAAGATGCACAGACTTTCACAACAACAGATTAGCAGAACGTCCATTAATCTTCTCCCCAGTAAACACCATCTTATGCCCAGCTAATAATACGATAAGGTCAATACCAACATTTCCTATGAAGTGCCCTACTGGGCTGACCACATTAGTCTTATCTAGAAAAGAGTGATAAATCACACAGAAGAAAAAAAATATATATACATAACATAAAAATCATGGTCAATTAAGTACCAGAAACTTAACAAACAAAATAAACTTCTTAAAAGAGTATTTAAGAAAGACAAAAACAATTAATTATAAAATATAGCAAAATAATACATACCATGTTCCTCAATATAGTCCACAACGTGGCGGACTATGAATGGAACCTCATTGTCTGGTTGCCCTTCTTGCTGCAGCTCATCAAGTGGAATTCCAAATATTTTGTTAGCAAGAACAGAGTTGCAGTTACTCAAGGAAGGGGAAGAGCTCTTCCTCATATCTTTTTGCAGCCAAAAATCAAAGCTGTCTTTTCTATTAAAAAAGAATTAAAAACAAAAATCATACTTCACTACACACTGTTGATGTGCTTCTCCGTAACATACTGTATTTTATTCCTAATGCAAATACTGCTCGGTCTCTCAATCCGAGTACTGATTTTATAAAAGTTTTGTTATGATTTCAAATACAGCACGACTAGATAAATGACTCTAGTGTTGAGGTATTCTGTTCAGTCCTTAATAGGAGACAGGGAAGCAAACGTATTTCCACAAAGGCAGCTCAATAAAATTCTAGTCACTTCATAGTTATTTAAGCAAGCTCCAAGGGACTTCAGGCAACTGAGACTCTCCATACACTTCCTGACAGTGCTTCTCTGTTACACAATTAGTTAGACAATAAAGTTTCCACTGCAGCTCAAACTGAAGTTCAGAAGACTCCCACTTAAGAGCTACTTTAAGTAAACTCTCAACATCCGACCAGGGTTCAAAGCTGTACTGAACAGGATCTCCCCCGTCCCCAAAATGCTTTCTAAGATGCTCAGTGATAACACTCCTCCTGTCACACAGGATCTTGTGTTAGGCAGGTCTTTGCCCAACCTGGGTTCTACAGAGTATTACACAGTATTTCTATTTAACTCACTCAGCTGTTACTATTACACTACATATATTTTTAATCAAAACAAGGGAATTTCTTCTTTCACTGGAGAAAAAGAACGTCTTGTTCAAAATGAAAAACAAACAAAAAAATTGGACTTGCTTTAAATGCAAGCTATCACTTTCATATAGGCTGGACAAAAAATAACCAGCCAAACATTGCAGCTGAAAACCGTAATAGACCAGGCAGAGCAAAACCTACACTTCCCATTTTTAAAAAACACCCAAGTAGTTTAAGCAACCTACCTCAGAGTACTTAAACAGCCGAGTTTGAAAAACGTTTTCTGCGCCAGCTGCCCTCACTGACCAAGCATTCTTTTGTCATTTATGGTTGTTTAAGATTATGGCAAAAGATCAGCCTGTAGTTCCTCATTGAAGAATAGCAGAACTCGATCAGTACTTCAGCAGTTAATCTAAAAATAAGAAAAATACCATTAGACCACACCATTTTCAGAGGTTTGAAACTCAGTCATAAGTCAAGATACTTCACTTGAGATGTTCCCCTTGTCAAATCACATCATTTTCTTGTTTTAAACGTAAAAGCTTACTAATCACACCAGTACAGTTCATGTGGGAGCTCACAAAAAAACAAATCTGCTTGAATTTCAAGCAGTTAATCAACCTCAAAGCAAAAGGTAGCATGGGACATCTTAGAGAATCATAATGATAAAAGCATGAAGGAAAAAAAAAAATACACACACATCACACACATAGACATTTCAGACTCATTCATTCATTCTTCAAAATAAATCACTGATAGGTAGGAAGGTTAGATAGGAATGTTTTAAAATACTTATTGTACTAAAGCACATCACAGCTTAAAAAGCCCTGAAGACTCACAGACACTGATTTAGCATATTATCTCTAACTATAAGCTTGGCATGCATAAAAACAAAGTTCAAACTAAGGACCGACAGGTAATCCATTTTCAGTGGTACAACAGATCTTCGCTTAAGAAGTTGACTACGTGTCCTAGTTACCAGTTCAAAGTCCAAGTGACTATAAAATCTGAATACAGAAAGCAATTTCCTTCAAGTCAGATTTCCTACGAGCTCCCTATTTTCTAATTTGTATTATATACACGCACATAAAACTTGACAATAAAATAGGTTTCCCTGGGTTTAAAGGCATGTACTGAAACCTCACATTTCCATAATGGAAGACTGTATTCATAATATTGACCTTGAAAAGAGTCTTCCCTTTCTTTGTTGCCCCACGCAGGCTTTTGCTTCTTTACTACTTCGGAACCAATTAACTCCATCCTCACTTCCCAAGCCCCCACAATCCACTACTCTCATTAAATATCAAGATGCCAGCTCCATTCATTACCCTGTTATACAAGGAATCCAGCTTATTTTGGTAAATAACATGTTTTGTGTCCCCAATCCTCCCCACATTATACACATATTTTAGACAGCCACAACCTTCCCATAAAGACTGCCTCAATCTTCCTCTTCAGAAGAGTTTTTGTAGAGAGTCCCACAGGAAAAAAAAATGCCATCTTTCAGGCTTTTCAGTGTTAAAATCGATATCAATATGAACAATGACGACTGATATTCCTTCCCTTCTCTTTGTAGTCTATCCTGTTTTACACATGAACACAACTGGCTACTAGTCCAAGACCAGGATTCTAGATATCATGACAACAGAAAATAAAAAATTATAATCCAGTCAGCAGGCTTTGCCATTTTCTCCTTTTTCATGGATGTCTTTTGGAATAACTCACATAAACGCACAGTGTAAAAGCTGCATAAATTTACAAGTCATTTTCAAATCTATCATTGTGTAGGTCTTGATTACTAAAAAGATGCTGTCAGATTTCAACAGTGAAGCAGTTGCACTTCTTCACTTCCCTATAATTTATGAAGAACCTGCCCAGTCATTTTTCTTATTATTTTTGTGTATAAAGCAAGAGTCAATATAATCCCTGCACACTCAGTAGATGCCATTCAATCAATGCCAATATATCAGGCGATTTTCAAAACATGATGGAGTGGCAAACAGTCTATCCTCTCAACTTCTACTGAAGTCATTTTACCCGAAACAACAAATTAGGAAGACTCCAGTTAGCCAGCTACAGGGTTAATAGCAGCTGTGAATAATCTTTGATGGATCTGCCACAACGCTTCAGGCTGTGTTACTAAAACAAACAAACACACCAACCTTCAAAACAAACAGCACCTAATAAATGAACAAATTAGAAGCAACCACCTCTTTTTACCACCCAACCAAGTGGAAAAAAAATGGAAAACTGCAGCTCTCTCTTCACAGGGCACTTTGTGTGTAGCTATTGGACACAAAAGCAGGGCCATTTTTTGCTAGGTACTGAAGATAAACAGGCTCTTTGAATCTTAAATTCATTCCAGTGACACCACAAAAGGAGGGATTCTATTTTTGATGACTTGACAAAGGAACAATGAGGTTGACACAGCTTTTTTGCTTCACTTTCCTGAACAAGATCAAATTTATAACCCAAGCTTAAACTGTATAAAACAGTTTAACTCTTGAAAAAGCTAGAAATTTAACAAAAGTTGCTATTCTGACTTCCCTCAAACTGTATTTTCTGTAATTTCTAGCATTTTAAGACTGAAGGACATGCTTAAAGCTATTAATTATTAATAGCATACCTCTGTTTTTGGTATCGATTAACGGCTTTCCCCTTTCTCTTCCCTTGACTCAGGAAGTGTCACTTCAAGGCACTGAAAACCCGGACAAGTTTTCTAACCTTCAGACTCTGCACCAAGCACTTATGGATATCAACAATACTTTTTTTTTTTTTAAATATTAATCAACAGCTTCATAAATAGCAGCTGACCCATTCGATCAACTATTCCTATTTTTGTTCCTGTTATCCAGACCCCTTTGAACATGTGTTCCCCCCCCACCACCCCGTTTTCCCCAGTTTCACACCCTTTATGCTTCTCTAGTGCTACTTCGGGAAACAGAGTAATTTTTAAAAGATACATGCCAAATCCTGATAGTTTAATAACAAAAACCTAACTGCCTTATTAGAAATGTTCTGGCTCTCCCTTTCTCCTTCTCTCTTTTTACTGAAAGTGTTTAACAAAGATCATTCGAGTTACAACAGCACTCTAGAAACTATAGAAAATTACAGATACACCTTACTGTGATTGCAGACTATTGCATAATATCACAAGAGGATTAAACAATCCAAAACCCCTATATCCTATGCAATACCTTGATCTCAAACATCTTAGCTGTGAAGATGAAATTCTGTTCTGTACTTTGCATTTCATTGCACTCATCTATTGAAGAAAACGTCTCCCCACCCTCCGCCCAGCTATAATGCAAGAACTTTGTAGAGTCTGCTGGGAAAACTGCACCACAAATCTCATTTTGTCATCATAACAGCATTCATTTATCTTGCCAGCTAAAAAAGTAGTCACGCCCACGTATGAAATGCCACTAACGAAGAAAACAGAATGCATGGCTGATTCTCAGCATTTGAACGGTAGGCATGAATGTTTAGTCTTAAATTTGGTTCACCTTTTACACTACTGGCCACCCTACAAATGTGTGGGTGTCACAGCCCTCAGGGTTTCATCACCTTTCCTGAAAATGAAGGAAAGAAGGGACAGAGTAAAAATAAAGAATAACTAAGAAAAAAGGTTGCAGGAAGAAAACCATGTTATAGGAACGAAATATTAATTCTGCACTTATAATTTCTGTACCAGGGATCAACTATTCAAGGAACTCTTATTTACTGCTTTCTTTGCCTGGGAAGACAATACGATTGCAGTGTGGCCAACAATGGTGGCAGTTCTGCACTTTTTACTATTAGAAAATGCTTGCAGCTATGCATTATTTTAGTGATTATCAGATAGCACCTGTAATTTTTCCAAAACACATGAAAAATAAAATCTACATCTAGGATTCGAGGGAGAAAAGGAAAAAAAAAGTTGTAGGACAACATATTAGGTGATCTACTTAAAATCAGGTAATTTCTGTGCTGTCTCTAGTGATGTATACAATAAAATTAACATACTTTTAAATTGAAAGAACTTTTTTATTATTTTAAATCTAAACTTGGAGTTTTTATAATCCAAAAAGGAGTTCAAAATTATACCTTAAAACTTATGTCACAGATTCCAGCTTGGAAGCATGGGAGCTTTCCTCGTGCCATGACTCTGGGCGATGTCACTGCATGAGAAATATTTGGGGACTTCCTGCCTACAGAGCCCGTCCCCAGCTGCTAACTCCTGCCCTACGCATCATTTCATTTAAGTTAAAAAGGCAGCGGTTACTGTTCTTGTAATCAAGCTTTATCAAGGTAAAAGGGGCTCTTCCTCCTACCTTGTAATACAGGTCATGATCATAGCATGTTAACCAATGATTTCAGGGCCACGTACAAATGTATGCTCGTATTACTGGAATGGATGAAATGCTTTCAGACAGAAGAGCTTTTGCCCATGCAATTTTCATCTTTTGTTCTGCTAACAAATACATTTAAAAAAAGATTGCTCATTTGAATTAACCCATTCATATCTGAAAGGTTCCCCTGCCAGGTTGGGGCAGAGAAACAGCTTAGAAAATGAGCTTTAAGCAAAGAGAACAGCAAAAGCTCAGGACACAGAAGTACAAGCGATACATCTCACAACAGCATGACTTATCAAAAATCACAATCTACAGAACATCCTCCACAAGAATAGAAAGGATATTTAATTTTAAAGACATGTTTGTGTCCATAAATATATTTAAGTGGCCTTGCTATTTAAATACATTTTTTAAAAAGCACAAAAGTAAGACTAGTTTAGAATAGATTATCTAAAAGAGGTATTTCCTCTTTCTGACTGTCAGAAAATGAGCTGAAATGAGCTGCTGAAAGCCATTTTAGTCAAAAGGCTGGACGGCCAAATCAGACAATTGGTTTCAATTATTATTTTAAATTTTAAAAGCCAGGCTTCTTAAGATTACATTTGCCATCCCCTTCAAAGCATAATACTTTAAAACAGATATAACTACAATTCAACTTGCGATGTTCAAGGAAACCATTTTAGAATAAATGTGTTTTCAAGTACATGATTTTCCCTTCTCTCATTTCTTCCTATGGTTATTGTATCTTTGCCGACAGCTTTGCTTTCTAGTTAAATAGGATTTGAAAGGAAGCAAGATTGTTGCAAATTTGCACACAATCCCGAAAACATTCAACAAAAGTATTAGATGAATGGTATATTACCTGCCTTTAAAACTTCTACTTTGTACCTAAATAGCCTTAGAAAACAGTCAACCTGGCAATACTGACAAAACAATGTACGCACAAGAAAATAAAAAACACGGCATCAGAATCAGCAGATCTAGACAGCAGGTTTCTCTCATCCCGGGAAGGCAACAGCAACCCTTGCAACTCAGAAATTAGAACTATTCAAATTAAGCATTTATGTCATCACCATGGAAGAAAGCGACCAAACTATTCCTGAAAACTCTTCAGAGAAATATACGAGGCAAATGGATGGGCTTTTGTTTTTTATACTTAAAATTTTCAAGCTATAAAATTAGAGTATTTATTAAGAGTTTCTCTCCTCCTCCCGCGCCCAATTAAAACAGAATCTCTAGTTTCAGCACACTGAACCTGATTACATTTTCTCTGAAAAAAAAAAACGAAAAACAAACAAAAAAACATCAAATACAGATCTTCAGCAGAAGTGGGTCTCATGTCTGCCTCACAGGCATTACTTTGAGTGTTGGATTTGGGGAAAAAAATATGAAAATTCAAATTTCAGGAAATACACGAATCCTTTATCCACTGCACTGTAGTAATTTTAGTAAAGCCTCAAACCCAGCAACCAATTTAAACATGACTCCCCCAAATTCACAATTTCTAAAACAGTAAGCTGGCTAACAGATTTCAGGGATCTCAGTTTTCAACCCTTTCAACACAAGGATAGCATTTTATAAATACTTACTACATAAAATCCAAAGGCTTGAGCAGCATTATTGTAATTCAAGGTTCTTCTGTAATGATATGAGCAAGATGAATTAATAAAAACCATCAGAGATACCAGCGAAAGTAGATGTTTGCTTGGTGCTTCACACCCACCACTGAACGCTGCCAGATTTGCTCTCTCAGCTGCTGCTGCCAGTGCACATGTGCAGAATTATAAAGGAACTTCCTGCTAGCACAATCCCATCACATTCTTAACGGCAGTAGTTAATAAATAAAAAGGCTTCTGTATCTTGTGTAACAGCTAATTATATTCATTCTACTTGCCTTCCCCCAAAGTAAAGCTTTATTCAACCAAGCACATGTATACGTGCCAATATATCAGATAAAAATGTTACTTAAATGTAAAAGTACAGTAACTCTTTCACAGGAGGAAGTTATAGGTAAAAAATACGCAACTTCAGAAGCTCCTATCATAAAACCAAAGCAGTTTAACAATTGTCACTGCTGTTAAGGAGGACTTCAGAACAGAAGTCAAGCTACCTCACAGACACCAAAAAAAAGCAAACTATAAATATATAATGCACTTAATTTATTATACATAAGTTATCCTATTACATACATTTATCATACATTTATCATGAGCCTGTTGCTTCCCCTCCTTGACAGGTGAGCAGAAATGCACATTAGAGCTCAAGGCCATTACAAAACGTGGTCCAGAAGCCCTTTACAGGATAAAGAGGGTCTCTGTCAGGATGCCGGCCAGGCATCACCAAAATAAAGGACAATCTTGGCATCTTCACTGGAGGACTAAGAAGTCTTAACAAACAGTTCAATTCCATGGCAATGACTAGGGAATTTGAGAACAAGAAAAAAAAAAAAAAAAAAGAAAGAAAAAGGAGGCGGCAATGGCTAAAGAAATCTAGTAAGATTACAAGAATCAACAAGACCTAATGAAATGGGAAGTCTGAAGAAAGGTTTCCTAATGTGCACACTCAAAACCACAGAGGGTAAATGAAGAAGGAAACGCATGTAAGATTCCAACTTTCATCTTGTTTTGTGCAAAAATTATCATTTTACACAACTGAGCACCATTTTTTAATTCTTAATACACTGATGAGAAGTACTGTATTAACAGAGCAGCCAGGAAGATTGAAACCTAGACTATCCTTATAAGGCTTCCTTCCAGCCCTACTCTGTTCCGATAGAGCAGCCACCCTAAATTCCTTACAAATGTACAGACGAGTGACTAACACAATCCATTTAAATCTTAGTATAAAAAAAAAAAAATAAACAATCCATATGGCCATGTGTGCATGAAAGAACCAAATCACAGTCTTTATTGCATATTGTTTGAGCACAAATACAATGCATTATCTTCAACATAACCTCCAGTTTGTCATACTTTGCTTCTTCTAAGACAAATACACTGGATATAAGATTTCACGTGTTCATATGTAAGAGAGTGTAAGAGTACAATGAGTCACTATCACAGCAGAACTGTTGATTCTAGTATAGTCAGAATAAAGTCCTAGATTCAACTGCAAGATACTATTCAGTTTTAGCATTGAGCTGACCTCCATGTTGCCAATATGGAATCTCAGCACAGTAATTGCCTTCTATACTATGTCTGCTAAAACGGCAAAGTAAATCAGCTCTACAAGGATTTGATAATAGAAGATTTGATAATAAGTACATTACCATTATAAGAGTATAATGATTTTGTCTGAATTGATTTAACTTTCTCAAGTCCCCTCAGCTAGCTGGGAACCAAAGACAAAACTTCAAAACCAAATCTGAATTTATTAAGATTCTGAGACAGCAGGTCACTACTCTGAAATAAAGTTGCTATTTACAGAGATGATTAGCTAATTTTCAAAATAACACAGTCAGTGAAAAATCTCAAAAGTGAGCTTCCTAACTTCAGATAACTTCCCAGGAACAATTCTCTGCCTGAATATAACTTTGACATGCAACGTACACTCTCTCTGCTGAACAACTGATATATCAGCCACTTCAGAAACAGCATTACAAGTGAGAAGTGCCACCCTTTCTGATTCCAGCAAAGCAGACACTATTTCCCTCCATTCTGTCTTTTTCAGATATATTGGATAAAAATCTACTTTTTTCAGGTCTTAAGTAATAGTCCTCACAATTCAAAGGATTAGCAAGTATAAAACTGTGTTGGCAAGGGAGAAAAACAGTTAAAGGTTTACCATCTTTCATCCTTACAGATCCAAATACTGAATTGTTTTGCAAGAAGCCAGCTAACTCTCATCCTAATGGCTACTAAGGTTTTATTTTGTGTACTAAGATGGCAGCAAAAATAACGTGGTGCTATGCACAAGATAAGGATAATTTAAATGCATTCTCTTAGAGACATCACTTCCTCTTCCTTAAAGCCGCAACGAAAAAGAAAAAGAAAAAGAAAAAGAAAAAGAAAAAGAAAAAGAAAAAGAAAAAGAAAAAAGAAAAAAGAAAAAAGAAAAAAGAAAAAAGAAAAAAGAAAAAAGAAAAAGAAAAAGAAAAAGAAAAAGAAAAAGAAAAAGAAAAAGAAAAAGAAAAAGAAAAAGATATCACTCAAACTTGGTAGGTTTTGTTCTCTTTCTCACAAGCTCTAGGAGAAAACACCACTGGTAAGATGTAAATATCTAACCAGAGATAAAAAATACATATATTTGAAGTGGGGGGAAAAAAAGGAAAAAGAGTAGCCACACCCACAGGGCAGGAAGGGCTATCACAAAACTGACTCACGCCTGCTCCAAACACCAGGTGCCTTCGGCCTCACCTGCTTTTGTAAACATGTTGCTTTGTACATGAAAAATAAAAGCTTTACTGCTGGCACAGCTCTCATTACAAACTGCACATGACAATATTTAATGAACTCATTTAACGAAGGCCTCCAGTATTACAAGCAGTAACAGAAGCATCTATATCGAGCAGGACCAAGCAAAACTGTAATTAGTCCAACTTGAAAGAATTAAAATTATCACATGAGGTCTTGTCTTGACAGCTTCTTTTAAAGTAACTAAGAAACACCACTTGATTTGCCTTCCTGGAAGATTAACTATATTATTTTCAGGAGATGCTTTAAAAAAAATTAATTGAATTAATCGTAGAAATATTGATTATTATAATTTCACAAGGACAAGAAAAGAACCCCTGCTGTGCTAGATAACATACCAAAAAAAAAAAAAAGATGATATTCTAAACATCTTCAAATATCATGCAACAACAAAAAAAACACATAAAGCTCACGCTTAAGCTCAAAGCTTAGTAGTACCACATAGTTAAAAAAAATAAATAAAAGAGCTAATGAGACAGCAGAATTTGTTTTAATATACACGAACAACCTTGGCTTTTTTTTTTAATGCTGGCAGATTACATTGCACACAGGACAGACAAGCTGCAATGGCAGATTTCTAACCTAAATACTAATCCAATTCCACGATTTATTCTACAGTCACGTAGCATCTCATTCCTGAGGACTCTCAGGAAGGCAACGCAAAAAAACGTGATTTTGTTACATTCACTTTCACTTCTTTTACATAGGAAGGGGTAAGGAAAAAAATAAAAGAGTCCAGGCGGTATTTAGTTTTTCGTCCCTCACTTTTCCCCCTTCTTGAGCCTAACGGCAGTAATAAATTATATTTTTAAGAAGTCAAAAAGACAACCGGAGTAAGGAAACACGAGCAAGCGAGCTCCGTGCCAGGAGTTTAAGGGTGGTTTTCGGTTTGGGGTGTTTTTTGCTTTATTCGTTTCTGGAGCCGGAGGCAGCCGCGCAGTCCCGGGGTACCCCGCGCGAAAGCGGCTCCTTGGGGAACACGGGCCGCTCCCCCGGGCGCGCCCGGAGCCCCGAGGAGGCGGCGGAACAATGGGAGCCCCCGCAGGAGCGGCCGGGGGCTCGCGCGGGCGCATCGAGGCCCTGAGCAGCAGCTGCCGCCGCCCGCGGGGAGCTCCGCGCTCGGCCGCGGGGCCGGGCCGTGTGTGGAGCGGGGTGCGGGGGACCCCTGACAGCTCCGCGCGGCGCCTCGCGCAACCTGCGCCCCGTGGTCTCCAACGCGGCCCGGGGGGCTCCGCGCCCCGTCCCCGCCGCGGCGCCCGCGGGGCCCCGGCCGCGCCCCCGCCCCCCCGCGCTCCCCGCCGCGCATGCGCCCCGGCCGCCCCTCACCGTTGCCGGGTGACTCGCCCTCCCCGCCGTGCTCAGCAGCGGCTGCAGGTTCCTCCGCCTCTTCCTACCCCGGGGGGCCGGTGCGGGCCTCGGGGCGCCTGGGCGCTGTGCTCGCCGCCTTCCCGCCGCGCCGTGTCGCGTCGTGTCGCTGCGTGTCGCGTCGTGTCGTGTCCGCCGCGCTGCCGGGCCGGGCGCCGTGCGAGCCGCGAGCTGCGTCGCTCCAGACGGGGGGTCCCCAACGGTAGCGGCGGCAACGGGCGGAAGTGACGCGCTGACTGACAGGTGCAGCGCGCGCCCCCCCTTCCCTCCCTCCCTCGGGGTCACGTGCCGCGGGGCGGGCGCGCGAGGGGAGGGGGCGGCGGCGGCGCTGAGGGGAGGCGGGAGGCGACGGGCGGCGGCCGCGATGGCTCCGGCTCCCTTCATGGCCGCTGCCCGCCCCGCAGTGCAGCTGGCCGGGCAGAGGGGCTCTCGGCCGGGCGGGAGCGGCGGCGCCGCCGCGGGCGCTGAGGGGCTGCGGCGGGGAGCGAGACTGAGGCGCTGGCCGAGGGACCCACTCGTTATTTCGAGCCCTGCGGTGCTTCGGCCACCGCTGATTCGAGGGTGCCCGAGGTGCAAATACAGCCAATAATAGCAAAAAATACGTATATTTATTACATTTGTTGTGTTTCCCAGCCACACACAAGCTACGCGAAGCACTGGACTATTTTCCAAGCTAAAACAGCACTGAGCCATCCCAGAGCCGTCCCTCCCCAGTATTTCCCAAGCAGGGGAATGCCAGCAATAATAATTTGCCCCGAGACCACGAGCATTACAAAATACACAAATTTTAGCACCTTTAAACTTTTTAGGTTGGCCTGGGCGAGCAGGGAGGTGCGAGCTTGCACGAGGCGGGTTAGGAGCAGGGCTGCACCCATAACACTGCCTGCAGCCATAGGCGGTGGGTTTAATAAGCGTTTAAGGAAATTCAGGTTTACTTACTTAAAAAAATCCTCTTAGGAGGAGCTTTCTTTTTTTCTCCATTAAAAAAAAAAATCCTTACAAAGAAATAAGATAAAAAGTATTCAGAACCCAAAGAAGGGAGAGTCATAATCCAGCAACATACAGCAATAAATTAGCTGTATTTTTTTGCTAAAAGGTGGGCTATCATTGGAAGTTGCCTTACAAAGACATTAAAATGCATAGGGTCAAAATAAATGACCTCGGGTGGTTTATATTTTCTGCCAGTCTGCTCTCACAGCAGATTTCTCCACTTGAACAGTTAATAAGATTTCCTCACATCAGGACGAGCTCCCAGAATTTGTATTTTGTATACATAGCAGTGTTCTTTCTGATTCATTTAGCCTCATCAACAACAATAAAGATACTGAATCAGAACAAGCTGGCAATTTTGTTGATGAAACATGGGAGAGAACGGACTCCAGCTGGCTCCTCGGCAGCTCACGCTGGCTGCTCGACAGGAATCAAACTGCAGGGAATGTGACACAGAGAGCACATGCAGAGCGTGAGGCGGCTGCGCCGGGGCAGGCCGGCACCGCACGGCACTGCCCGCTGGCTCCAAGGCCAGGTCTGCATCCCCTGCTCCGACTGGCTCCGCTTCGTGCCGCTTTGTCTGGCCTCCTTTGAGGCCCTTGCAGTGCTCTGTGCCGCCCCACGCTGCCGTTTTAGGCGTTTCTGCACTTTTCCTGCCCTCGCATCCCCGTTATCAAAGCCTCAGGTGGCTGCCACCACGCCACGTGGCACGGGGCTGGCACCACGTGTCAGGACGTGTGACACAGCACCGCCCTGAACACAGAGGCACGGTGACGGGACACTTCTATCTCATCGCTAAATCCGTGCCCAGAGCCAGGCCCCTATGGATGAGCAATTCCTGCAGGTCGGGGCGTTATCCTGTAAGCCCCACTAAGCTGCTCAGCCCACAAATTTTAGAGTTTCTACTGCTAGGCATCTGTACAGCAACCCAGGAGATCTGAAAACATATTAGCATAATTCCTTTATTTCCAGAAAATAGTATTCATGAGTATAAATCAACAACATAAAAGCATTCAACAATATATGTCACTATATAGAACACAGAGCTGGAACCATTTCTCCTTCATTGGTCCCTAATATGAGTCTCCTGACCTTTAAGCAAGACTTCAGAGTAAACAAGCTCTGAAACCTAGTTTCTAATTAAATCTAATTCCAGGAGCAGCCGTACACTGCTCCTCATCAGACATTGAGTATGATAGAAAAATAGTCCTATGCCAGCTGTGCACTACTGAGCAAGGCTTTGTACAAACCAAGGCACTATTCCAGAATTGAATCAATTCTGTAATATCATCCAAACGTTTGAAGCTTGATAGAACTGTTGCACAATTCTTTACCTTCATATTTGATCATTATCTTACTGAAAGAACATGGAAATCTGATGTATAGCAAAGCAAGACTTGGTCTGCTGTAATATCTGTGCATCGTATGTCTATAGTTTTCACTTGGAGAAAAATAACTCCTGCATTTATGTACACACGGATGATTTGACTTTCCTGGACTTGAAAGTGCTCAGTTTTTGTCTCAAATAGACCCTATTGACCTCTAAAAATAATTACAGATATCTTAACACCAAAGAAGGAACGGCAAATGGTAACACTTCTCAGCTCATTATTCTGTAGAAAAAAAAAAAAAAAAATTCCTCTATTTTTTTTTTTCAGGCATGTCACTGAACTGGGACTTTACTTTGTTCCTCTTTTCCAGCATTAAAACATTTTGCTTCCGGGTGTCCAGCACCAGACATCTGGAACTGATGGACACCCTTAACTCTCAAAGAAGGCTCTAGGAAAAGCAAGTGTTCAGTTCCTCTGACTCATGATATCCAAAAGGGCACCAAAACTCAAGGTACCTTATTTTGAAAGCTTTGCTCCATACTAACAAAGGAAACCTTCTGCACAGAGATGCCCTTGGATTTTTCCAAGATATATTCCATCCACAAGACTGTCTGCCGTTACTGGATGCACATGTAAGGATTTCTTAACTTAATTCAGTATCAAAGGCACATGTTCTATGTAATGTCAGATATCTTTAGTTGGTTTTCTACCAGAATTGTATGATGAAGGTAAATATTTACACATTTCTCACAGCTTTTGGATATTTTTAAAGATCTGAATCTTGAGTTTGAAAGATCTACCTTTAGAGTAGAAGTCTGGGAATATGGGACAAAAGTAGCTTCTGAGGCTTGTTCACGTCTTAATTGCATGATTGCAGACTTAACGGGAGATAATTCTTCTCTCCTTGAAATTCAAGACATCGTAAGGTTAATTCAATCTTCTCAGTTCCATTTCCGCCCTTCTGTTCCCCTTCCCACACTCCCCCCACCCCATCTGCAGACAGCTGAATTTGAATTTTATGCAAGCTAGTATGCATCCAAGGGGAAAATTATCCAACGTGTGCACCAGGCACGAGCAAAAATTACAGTATGGCACACTTGTTTTTCACCTCCTAGCTGTTTTTGTCCATGTTCACCACTTTGAGCTGCAGACAGACACAAGCCCATGCCTCAAAGCTAGTTTCCACCGAGAAGTTATCTTGAATTACACCTTGAATGGCCTCATCCTTTTTAAATTCCTGTTCTTTGCACTTAGAAGGACCTTCACTTCAGCGGCGCCTTCGGCTTGCCTTGCAGTTGGAGCAAGTGCCGTTCGTCTGCTGCCAACGCGACCGTCGCTGCTGCTGCTGCCCTGTTATTTCACAGTGCTCTCACTCACAAGGCTGAGCAGCTCCCGCAGAATCAAGTTAACTCTGTCCAGACATAGCCTTAATAAGCCTATAGCTGTTTATATAGATTTATAAAAAATAAGCCTTAAAAGTAGTTACTGAAAACTTTCTGCTACGGCCAGGTTATGCAGAGATAGCCATCAAGAGGCTAAACAGTCTAATCTTTTTCCTTTGGATCTTAGGGAACAAACCCAGCATGTAACATAGTGTACTTACAAGCTTTCATTTCACCAGGCAATAGATAACAAATGTGGAATGCACCGATTACAACTTCCCTGTGTTAGTGGCAGTTACTGGTGACCTTGTACACGATATCTAATGTGCACATGCCCAACCTGCTCTGCATAGCAAGTTTATAAAACTGGAAGAAGGAATGCTGGAAAAGACGATATATACATCCCTTCCAGTAGAAATAACAATTTTTGGTCTGGAAACAGCCTTTTTAAACTGATCTCCATGAACTCAGCTGATGAGTTTCTCCGCTTGAGCACCCTTGTTGTCTTAGACAGCTGAACAACTGTGTTTTCTGATTTTGCCCAAAACCCAACAGATCCCTAAGCTACCAGGCAGTCACAGGCTGCTGGAAGTGGAATGATTTTACAACCCAGAGGGAACTGCTGCAGAGGCATCCGTGAAAAATTCACCCACAGGGCTGCGTCCCAGAAGTTGTGGATAACAGGGCTCTGTGAGTAGCCCAGCACACAGCTCAGCAGGGCTTGAAACAACAGATACACCTACGGTCCTTTCTCCCTCCGGACAAAATAAACCCAATAGGGAGCTAGTACATCTCTCGAGTTGATTATTATTAATCCATGAAATCTTGCTACACCAGCTGCACCCTAGATGCCACAGTCTAATCCTTGGGCTAGGTCATCTCAATGCAAAATAGTGACTTTCCCCTTCTTTAAAGCAATGAGTGATAAACTCGACAGTGCAATGTCCAATTCCAGAGCGGTCAGCTCCACGCAGAGGTACTTATATCACTGCTGTCATGTGTTCTATAACATATTAAGTAATGTGACTATTAAGTAATGTGACTAATGCATCACATGCTTCTTTCCCCTCCCCACCCTTGGGAGAGGAGCATGTGCATGGATATTTTGTATTAATTTCCACACTGCCACTCCCCCTGCTAATAATGCACGCACACATTGCCACATTTGCTAGAGAAGGCAAGGCCAAAGCAAGCACTTTGCTTTGGAAGAGGACCCACTACAGCTTCGGGTTAGAAAGTTCAAGTTTCAAGAAAGTTCAGCTGCAGGAAGCTCTATTTGGCTAAACCTTTAAAAATTCACTCCCATATTGAGCTGTATAAGATGAAAAATGAGGGGGAAAGTAAATTTCCACTTTAACTATTGTTGTTTTTACTCTTTTCACTCTGTGCTGCAATGGGACTCCTGGCTAGTCTGAATTTCAGAACTATTTGGGAAACACAGGGCTGGAAAATACAGCCAGGGCAGGAGGACATCCCCATTAAACCTCCTCTCCGTCTCCTCACCCTCAACACACTCTAGATAGGGAAAGGAAAACACCTTGGCTAGGCGTATACCGGAGGAGGACACGTATGGAGCATTTATGTGCAAGGGCCATCCCGCCACGGAGAGATCCCTGCCCGGTCACACCCCGGGATTCATTGTCTCCTTGCCTGGGAACCTGTCCCCATTCCCAAACATGGATATTTTTCTTGGCAGCCGCATGGAACAAAAGGCACAAAGAGAACTAAGAAAATCCTTTCAGTGAAGCTCTAGGCCTCCTTCTGTTCCGCCCGGGAGGGGAACCTCCTAATACTTACTAGCAAGCCCAGCCCTGCTACCTTTCTGGAAGGTGCTCAATCCTCACTGAACCTAAAGCAATTAGGTGCTCGCAGCATCCGGCCCAGCCATTCCAGCCTTGAGAAAAAAAAAAACTAATCCCCCACCTTCAACACCAATAATACCACAACATTTTGCAAATGAAATCACTGTTATATTTGAGTGGGCGTGTTACTTCGAGACAGCACTAATGTGATTATAAAATCAGTGGTGTCAGCTTATTGGCTCAGCTACAGACACCGATCTGCTGGAGCGTCTGTTCCTCTGAGCGGCTGCTCACGTTAAGATGCCTCGTCCTTCTTTGCTTCCATGTGAAATAGGTGCAATCTCATTGCCACTGTCACACCAAAGAGAAGGGAACCCTCTTCTTGCAGTCCTCCGCCCAAGCTCCGTGCAACTTGGCATTCCCAGGGCACAGCTTGTGCCAAACATGGGCCCCCAAACCTGCAAGGATTATGCCCAAACGAGTCACTACATCCAAGGGAGGCCGGGCTCGCTGGTCCCAAGCGCAGCAGAGGACAGAAACTCTGTAGCAGCAGACTCCAAATCTCCAGCCTCTCTCCTCAAGCACTCATTTTCCCTTCCCGCTCGAGCTGCCTGTAAATGCTGCTTCTCACCTCTTACTGCATCCTGGTAGCAAGTGTTTGTTTTCCTCTGTTTTTCCGTAGGTGTCTGACAGACACGCGGTGGTGTGTGCCGCAAGGCGCTCATGCTCTAAGGAGCAAGTGACTCACTGCCATCAGGGGTTTGGTCCTGGCACATTTGACTCAGACCTTCATCTTTTGGCAGTGGGCTGAAATAAAACACAGTTTACACTGTATTTGTGGCATTTTTCAGACATGACCCTACAAATATGTTTTTTTCACACTTTTATGTGTCTGTGATCTTTAAAGATCCTATAGATCCTCTTTTACTTGCTCTGTTGGCTTAGCATTTTTTCCCCTTTCTATATGACACATCAGTCAGTTGCCTCCATGTACCTAAAGACTGTTGTGGTTCAGTGTTAGGAGGATCATTTCAATGCTAGGTTCCTCTCACAGGAGGTGGTGATGCTGAAATCCTGCCATTCAAAACGTTCTACCAAATAATTGTTTCAAGGCTGGTATCAGGAAGAACATTCCAACTCCCAGGTCGTGGTGTCCGAGGAAGGTATCTCCCCTCCATCTCTCCCTCCCATAACCAGCTCATCCCGTTGCCACGTGCTCACCATCCTGGAGCACCTCCAGGCCAAATTCCACACAAAACGTTCCATAAGGAAACCCCACAGGGCTGTACCACACAGGGAATGTAAACACAAGGTTTGAATCCAGCAATAAATGCATTTGACCACAGCTTGACCGCAGCACCGTACGGATGAGCTGCAGAGACTTGACAGGGAGTTTGTGCAACGGTCAAGGTGTTTGCTGAGGATGAGGAGCTACTGATTTGAACTGACAGCAAGAACATAATTTCTTATAATTATGTTACATGGACTAACAGAGTTGCATTTTCCTCAAAATCCCAACCCAGTATCAATTAAGAACCTAGTCATCTTCAATTTAAAAACCCAAACAATTTGCCCAAGCTGTTTTTAATACTAGAATTGCCCCAAAATTGGACACTTAGAACAGCAGTGGTGAAAGAACAAGAAGGACCACCTTGTTCTGGCTTGTTCAGAAAAGCCAAAGTTCTGCTGTGAATGCTGAGCCCTTGATTACGTACCCAGATTCTTCTGCTTCTGTGTCCTAAATACTCCAAGTGCACTTTATATCTGAGAGAATTTATTCTAAAAACAAAAATGGTTTTCCTGTATAGATCCCATTAGAAGAATCTAATCGTCATTTGTAAAAAAAAAAAACAGAAAAAAAAAAGAAAAAAAAGAGGTAGTCACTATTTACGAACTTTCACTTGTGAACTGCATGAATTCACAAATCAGGTTGCATTTTAAAGTTATTTTTCCAAACTCAGGATCTTCTACATCTAGTGTCCAGCCTAACAGAGGTTATTGCTGTCTCTTTAAGCAGACGCTAAGATTATTCAGTGCCAAATCTCAGCCATGCCTAATACTGAATATTCACCCAGCAGCTGCCTTCCTGCCTATTCCCGGGAGTTTTCAGTCAAGAACACAGCTTTCTATTTATGACAATTAGTTGGAGCAAGGGGAGGGAAAGAAGGCAACTATGTCCTGACACGAAGCATTACTGGTAGGCAGCAAAACTGATTTTGCACGGCTGGTTGGTGCAGGTGCAAAGGCAGCCAAGCCGCTGTGTGCAAGCTAACCGAGCCTTTAATCCTCACAAAAAGGTAGCTCTGTTCCTGCCGGGACAGCGTCAGGTCCGGAAGCAGCACGTCCAGGTCTGCACAGTCCTGAGGTCCCTCTCGGGAGCTCCACAGAGCAGCGTTATCCAGGTTCTTCCACCACTAAGGTTCTCTGTTCTCCTTTACTTTGAGTAATGCAGATGTGTCCATAAAGGAAAAGCTCTCAGCCAGCCCTTTGCCAGGACACTCATTAAATATTGCGTTTTCTGAAGATATGGAAAATGGAACGGATTAAGGAAGAATCACAGGGTGGGCAGAAACCACTATTTCTGAATGCTCATGAGTAAAAAGAATCATCTTTTCTTGGCGTGTTCATGTATTTTAATTTAAACACACATTGGAAAGAGACTCATTCCTTCAAAATACACCCATTTTCCCAATGTACACACAACCCTCAGCCTCAAAAATGCTCTGTGCCTATTATACCAACAGAAGAATCCACATGACCTTTGTGGGGATCTGAATCTGCTGCCTTCATCTGCCCCTGAGCTCTCACAGCTGCCCAGTAGACGTCTGAGCTTGTTGTCTAGCAGAGAAGAACAGATACTCCCAGCACACATTAACCTCATCCCAAGTTAGATGTCTCAAATAGATCAGTTGACTGGCACTGTAGAAGTGTCATTTCTCTCCTTTGACTATCAAGGAGTCCAGGCAAGAAATGCAGGTGGAGATACCTGGAGTTATACGAGATGAAACCCAACGCAGCAGCTTGGGAAGACGCACGCAGCCCTTCCCTCCCAAACTGCAGGGTCTTGCAAAGGGATTCCTCAAACTGCAGATGAGGAAACACGGCTGAGAAACACAGACAGGAGACCTCGTAGCCTGACACAGCCCTTACAGGAGCTGGAGGCGGTGGCTGCAGACAACATCCCTGGGCCAAACCATCCCTTCCCCGTTCAGATTTTCCTCTTAATGCCAAGTGCATCTTGCAACGGAGCCAAATGCACCCGAGAGCCATTAACCACGTTAAAGACTTCTCAGAAATTGCCTCACTCAGCACCTACGGGATATTCTCCGCTCAGCATTCCTCCCTTCCTGACTCCCTGCAAGTGAGCCAGGTGCTATTCCCGCCCGGAGCACAGCGGGAAGGCAGGGAGCAGGATACACAAACAGGGATTCTCGCACAGTCGCTGCGGAAAGGTCAGCTCCCAAGGTCCTGCTTGCAGAGCGGGAGCACCTGGGGCCAAAGGAGGGTGTATCGGGTGGTTTTGCAGCTCCTGAAACGGGTGGGAATAAAAGGCTCTTTGTTCTTCCCTTCAGGACACATTCCAGCTGAGGGCTCACACTGTTGCTTATCTCTAGGCTTGGCCCCGGGTTGCAGCAGAGCTCCCACGCCTCTGCTTGGAGCCCTCTCCGCCCAAAACGCCCCATGCGATTCCCCAAAATTCTGCAGAATTGGGCTCAAAAGCTACGCACAGAACAGCGCTGCAACGCCAGCCCTCAAATCAGCCCCACGCCTCAAATCAACTCCAAATCTCTGTATTATAAAAGAAGAGCAGGAAGGGAAACCTCAATATTTTTGCCTTGGCAAATGGGAAAAAAGGAAAAAAAATCTGTTTTGGCAGTTTTCCACAGTCACCTTTTTGTTCCCGTCCCTCATCCAATTTCCGCAGCGCCGATCTGTCCTTTTCTTGAATGCTGAGCAATCCCAGCAGCGACCTAATCAATATTAATAGCGATAGGAGTGGGGAGCAGGAGGAAGAGAGGAGGGATTAACGTGACCTTTCTAAACTCCCACCGCCTCAGACGGGCACCAGGCAGCTGAGGAGAAGGCAGCCAGACGGTAACGACATGTGGTTTTAGTGGCTTTTCATTCGTTTTGCCTGTGCATATTTACTTCTCTTGTCTCAGCGTGGCTAGCAATGAAATCAGGATGTCTTGAGGAAGGAAAAAATATAATTCTAGCTGTAGCCTCTGGGCCAAATTCCTCCTTGATGGGAGCTCCGTTGAAATCAGTGGATTAACACACAGGATGAATTTTATCTTGGATTTCTATTAAAAGCAGCTATTAGGCTAGGAAAGTTTTGACAGGCAGAGTGTTTAATGCAGGTTTTTTTTTTTAATGGATTTCTTTTATAATAGGGTATAATCAAAAAACACTGAGCGTGCGACTTGAATATTGAGCGTGAGAGCAAACAAAGGATTCTGTGAGCCAGCCTGCCTATTGTTAAGCACAAGTGAACACAGCAGCTAAGCCAGATAGGTATGTTTGTATGTATGTACTTAGGTTAGCGTGCTCAGAATTAAAGGGAAAATCCTATTAATTAAAACATTATAATTCAAACTATTTGCTCTCATTGGATTACTGGTTAATTGGAGACTTTCTGGTTTCCAGTATTAAAGTAGAGGTTTATGTCAGGAGGGGAGGTGGGTTATTGTCAGTTAATGCATTGTCTTTACTTAAAATTTTTTTGTTTCTGTGTTCAGGATATGATTTTTCAGAGAAATCTAGACAAATATCTCTTTATATCTTTCCTCTTTTGCTTTGAAAGAGCTTTATGAACAGATCCCAGATTGAGGTGTTAGATTCGTGTTGTATTTGGATGAACATTTTTAAGGGATTTTTTTCATTTTTAGAGCAGAAAATGCTTTGCAGATGGCTGATATCACAGCACTGGCAAATAAAGCCACGGGTGTGTTTGCTCTTCCTTTGTCAGGACCCATCATGTCCGACAAACCAGATTTTGCAGAAATTGAAACATTTGACAAGACCAAACTGAAGAAGACAGAAACCAGAGAAAAAAACCCATTGCCCACCAAAGAAAGTAAGTGCTTATAAGGCTATTTGTACTAAGAATAGTAAGGCTGCAATCCGTATCGCAGTCGATATGCCAAATGAATACTAATCATAGGATTAACGGTTCAAACTCATTCCAGACTTTAACTGGGAATAACACCTAGGCTCATGCGATACGTTGGGCTTGTAAAGATATGAGCAGTTATTACAGACATGGAGTTTTGTCTCAGGAATTCTTCCCATTGGGATTGATCCTTGCTGAAATTAAGACCAGTTTTCCTGCAGGTAGCAGGATCCAGCTGGGTGTAACTGCCAGGGTAGCCGTCTCTTCCGAGGCCGGGATAGGGAGGGAATTCCTGCAATCCCTGGCTGCTGGGGCAGCATTCCCAGAGGGTGCCCAGGCACCACGTTGAGCGTCTCCTCAAGCACAGGAGCTGCTGCCCTCCACTGGGTGACGGGCAGGAGACACTGCTGAGTTTGCACGTCCCACAAGGATCCTGCCCTAGCAGAGAGCTGTTCCCACAGCTTTTCCAGGCGAACTCTTCTCCGCTACATGTGGGGAGCCAAAGAGAGATGTAATTCACACTGAGCTTTGGACACGTAAATGGCAGCTTCTCTGCATTTGGATCGCACCTTAAGTTTCCTTTAAAAGCATCTCTGAGCAGAAGGGGAACCAAAGGCATCTCTAGTTGTTAACAGTTCACGGGATTTGGATGCACTGGCCATGGAGACACTCTGCCCCCCCACATAACAAAACACAGGGCAAGCAGCAGGTTTCTTCTCTCTGTGGGAGCTGAAGGTGTAGGAGAGGTTTGTACATCTTGACCTCTACCCCTTGCTGCACTGCCGTGGGAACCGAACAGGCAGCATTTCCAAGCTCTGAGAACTTCATAACACTCCCTGGATATAAGAAAGACTGTCAAAATCTGTATTCTGCTGAATCATCATAACTGCTGTTGATGACACTTGATTTCCTGTGTTTGTTTCTTCTTTTTTGGCAGCTATTGAACAGGAAAAGCAAAGCGAAAGCACTGCCTGAGCATGAGCTGGAAGATGCCACGGCTGCTTCTTCAGTGGGGTTTTGGCTTCCAAGTTGGGGTTCTGCCCCTTTTTCTTACTATGTGTTTGTTGTCCGGTTAATTTAACAAGCAGTTGTTCATTTTGTGTTCTTCGGGAAAGTTTGTTTTGCATTGGTTCAACACGGAATTTTGTATTTGTACTCTTAAAATTGTAACTCCAAGTTCTGTATCAACCCTATTACTTGTCCCCCCCACCTCAAAAAGCAATTTGCCTACAAAAATTGTTTTCCTAACCTCACAATAAACAGGTTTCTTCTGATTAGCTGTCTGTGCCTCTTGCTGAAATCGTAGTTTACCCTGTGACTCTTACCGTGTCCCATTTGCATTGCTCTGGTGTCTGAAGATGACCCCTCTGAGCAGAGGGATGCCAAGCAGTTCTGCCTGGGCACATGGTGCTCAGGTAGGGGGAGAAGGAAAGAAAATAATAAATATTCACCAAGAGATGGGGGCAGACAAAGGGAGATACTCAACAGCAAACAGAGGCAGAGCACAAACCTCGAGAGCAAAGGAGATTGCTTCAAGTCTCTGTTACTCCTGGTGCAGGAGCATCCGCACTGCTGTGGGGAGGGGTTGGCAAAACTGACTGTGGTCCCATTTCTGTCCTCAGAAACATAATATCACGTTACCTCTGCGACTAAATTTGCAGTCATTGTAAACACACACACACAAAAACACACTCTGGGAAGACAAACTGCTGTCACTAAAACTTCAGCTGGATCATCAAGGCAAAATAGGAATAATTCTATGGGCTTCAAAGACTGTTAGTCCGGATTTGTGTCAGTGCAGAGCAAGAGGAATGGTTAGTGTGGCACCTAGAAAGCTCTCATTTATGAGACTTATGGATTTATGAACATTCACGTCTAATTAAAAAGTGAAAAATACAAAGGGCTGAGAAACAAAGAAAAGAGCCTTGTTGCCTTGCAGCTCATTCACCCCTACACTCTGGTGCAGCTCATTCCAGGTAATGGCCAGAGAGGGTTTGATATGATTTAAATACCTGCTTGGCTGAGCATTCCTTAAAGCAGGGAGCAGAGTTAATGCACAGGGCAGCGACACCCACTGCAAACCAGCACAGGGAGCTGCACCCATCCACATCAACCCTCGCTCCTCTGAGCCGTTGTTTTGGCAACAGCAGCTCAGCCTTCCTCCTGCTTGGGAAGGCCCAAGGGCACTCGTCCTTGCAAATTGCTGCTAGAGTCAGCACATGGAAGGAGCGACGTGGGCACCCACAGGAGGATGGGTCTGATGGAAGAGCTGCTGCTGATACAGTAAAACCAAAGCCTTAGCACTTTACTTGCTTAACTTGGCCCAATGATAGGGTTATTATTATAAGATTAAAGTTTATAAAAACAAAGACAGGTCTGTTTTTCAGTTGCTTTAGTCAAACAGCATCACACCCCTCACCTGCAGGGCCAGCCAGGCCACAGACCAGGGAGCTGCTGTTCACCCAAGGCCAAGTGAGAGAGACACCACTCTAGTCATTCTACAAGGAAATATTTGTTCCTGGCATTAGAAGAGCTCTACAAAAACAAGGCAAACCCAACCCAACTCTCCATGCCCACCTAGGACTTGCTTCCTTAGCATTACCCACCTCAGTCACGCTGTTTCTGACCTTCACCACACAAGAAACCTACAACATTCACTGCAGCAGCAACAACTACCACCACAGAAAAAACCACCCCCACGCAGGTGGGCAGCCCATATAGAGACAGCCCCATCAGCTCACCAACAAGCTCCAGGTGGGAGACTTCAGGCTAAGCACCAACAGCCCTTGGCTGCTTTTGGTCTTGGTCTCGTCTTTAACAACACTCACCCTTACAGCTCCTCCAAAGAAAACCAGCATCTGAGCTAACCTAGTCCCAGCAGGAGGATCCACAGAGAGAGGAAAACACCATAAGCAGGGGCAGGTTTTGTCCAGCTCTCCTACCATCGTGAAACATGGCAGGGAAACAAGGGCCTTCCAAGCAGCGCCGCCGTGCGGCCCGGCAGCTCCCACCAGCAGCCCCACGGCCGCTGTGCTGCCCTGGGGACACCGCGAGCTCCAGCACCCCCAGGGCCATCCCGCACGGTGCGATGGGGGCGCCCGGGGCTGGTGCTGTGGGGCAGGATGGGGGACGCAGCTCCGTGTGCTCTCCGTTCACATAACAGGACAGGGGAGCTGCCAGGGAGGCTTCGTGCACTGCTCAGCCCCTACCTCTCCCCATGCATCAGCTGCCGGCTCCAGGATGCTTGTAAACAACTGGGAATCAGGAAAATACAGGGGATGGGCAGGGCAGCCAAGGGCCTTTTCCAGCTCCGGCACCCAACAGAAAGACTGAGGCCTTCAAAATAAAACAACGAACTTGGGAATTCTGAGCTGCTTCAATGCTGCATTCAGCGGGCAGCTCTTTTTCTGCATTCTTGGATTTGGCAAAGTTGCAACTAGCGAGGAAGGAAAAAAACAACGTGTGACTCTGAGTGGGTGTTTTCAAACAGAATCTTGTTGGGGGAAAATAAGCCTCCTTGGGCTGCTTTGTTTTCCCATGAAGCTGGAAATAACGCTGCTGTCAGCGAGAATAAGAGCCCTGCTCTTCTTCGGCCTCACCGACAGGGAGTTGATCCAGGTCCTGCTGCGTCAAGAGCAGTGCCCCCATGGCTGGCAATGCTGTGGTGTCCCTTCCTGAAAGGGTTAAAGAAACGCATGAGTTTTAGATATATATGTATAAAAATACATATATATGAGTTATATATATGTATATATAAAAATATACATATATATATATAGGAGCCCTATAGCATAGGTTGAGGTTAATGCCCTAGAGAGCGTGCAAGGACGAGCAGGCAGCCGCTGAGCCGGGTGCTTGGGCTTTGCTCCCGGGCACTGCAGGACCACAGGGATTTTCCCACCACAATCACGGAAATGAGGAGCTGTCCTTTGAAACCTAAAGCTCCGTCTCCAACACATTCACCCAGCAGGATCACGGCGGCTTCCAGCCAAGGGCACGCGTTGGGCTGGACAACCTGCGGTGGAGATGGGAGCCGCGGCCGAGGAGCAGCGCCCGGCTCTCTGGGGATTAGCAATAGCCAATAGCTCCATGATAGCACTGTAACAGCTCCACAATAGCACTATAATAGCGTTATAATAGTTCTATAATAGCGCTGCGGTGGCTGGAGCTGCCCCGGTGCTCCTCCGAGCGCATTCCCGAGGCTCCGCGCTAGCCCTGGGCAGCTCCAGCCTGAGCCGAGGTGCTCCGGGCTGTCTGGCGTTCCCGTCCTGCCCAGCTCCTCTCCCCGCAGAGCAGGGGATCCGGATAACCCAGCGTGCCCCCCAAATCCGGTGTCAGTGCCGTGCGGGCAGGTCCCACAGGGGGGAGCCTCGCCACCAGCGAGCGGGGCCACCACTGCCCGGACACTGTCCCCTGCTGCTGCCCAGCCACCACTCCGCTCAGTTAGCCCTCAGGAAAGAGCAGCACCCAAAAGCAGTTGTGCTCGTGCCTGAAGATGCTCCTAAAACTACCCAGCCGCCTTATTTAACCTTCTTTTCTGTGCACCGAGCATCAGGCTGCGGCTATGGGCCCAAGCGGGAGCGAACAGGGAGGGCTCAGCCTGGGAATCGGTGCGGGGCAAAGCCAGGTCCAGCTCCACCACCATCTCCAGTGAGCGTTTGCTCATCAAAACACGTTTGTCCTTGCTCCAGGAAGCTAAAGTTCAGAAGACTAAAAATAAATTAAATATATATATATATATTATATATATATACATGTCTATATACACACACATGGAGCCACTGGCCTCGTGTGGGGCCGAGGGGAGACCCCCGTGGCCGGACACAGCAACCGCCGCGGCCCCCGCGTCTCCGCCCGGGGGGGCCCCGCTCTAATGACCCAGGTGGGTTTTTATTGTAACGCGGGCGGCAATGCAGGATTTGACGCTCGGGCTCCGAATGTGTCACCTGCCCGGGGCAATTTAGCAAAGGGGCCGCGTTTCCTCATGCCCTTGTTTTCCGCCTTGTTTTCCCCGGGCCCCTGCGCCCGCCGCAGCCATCGGTGCCGCAGCCCCACATGTGTCACGAGTGCGCTGGCCTCAGCCGGCCTGGCACACGCTTTGAGCTGCAGACCACGTTTGCTCCGTACGAACGTCCGAGTGTTCGGCAGGCACGTGGAGTGGCTGCTCCTCGCTGCAGGAGGGATTCGTGCAGCCTCCCCTGAACTCGCTTGCCTTGTGTCTGATCCCGAGTGCATCTCGCGTTGCCCTTAAGGGAGTTTATCCCAAAGTGCAGGGGGTTCACGGAGCACGGGGCTCTGTGTGCTCGTAGTGGTGACCTCAGGCAGGCACCCTGATGTGTTTTAGCACCCTACAAATTGCATGCAAAGCAATGTAAATATCTGCTCATTGCAGTCACTCTTTGCTCACCCAAACCAAGTTGGTTTCTAAGCCACGAGCTGGTCTAGGAATCCGCTCTGGCTTCTCAGCCGGCTCTGCTGCAACCCTGGCCCAGCCACGTTTCACCCAAACCAACAGGCATCCTGTGGGAAGCAAGGCACCGAAAGCAGCTGCAAAAGAGCCCAATGCAGGGATGAGATCCACAGGGACACAGCTGGAACCCCAAACAATGCGCTTGCACACGGAGAGCGCTCAGCCAAAGGGCAGAGGCGTCCCCGGCCCTCCGCTGGGACGCTCCTGCTCCTGGGAGCTGCCTCCGACAGCTCTCCCAAGCCCGGCCCGCTCAGGAACCAGGGAAGAAAGCGCCGACCCGCGGGGTCCTGCGGCGCCGGTGTCTGCACCCAGGGCTTTCGCTCCCGCCGCTGCTTCAGTGCTCCGGCTGCAAGCAGCTGCTGGCAGCATTGCCATAGCGGCTCCACGCGCCCTTCCTGCTGTGTTAAAAAACAGCCAGCGGGTTTTCCCAGCCGCGCGCAGGGGAAACCAGACGGGGATGTTTCATCTGACAGAGTCCCGCGGCATCGTGGCCCATAAGGGTGTTGGCCATAAGCACCTCGGGTGGCTTTCCCAGGCTTGCTCGGGTAAGGATGCTCCTGCTGGGACCGTGTGTGTGGGGGAAAGCCGCTGGCCTTCCCGGGTGGCTCCCCAGGGAGGGCACCGGAGCCTCCCCGCACTCCCGGGATGCGCGTGCTGCAACCAGGCTGGAAATGCAAGATACCCATCGCAAGGAGGAGAGAGCAGGGGCAGAAAACAAGTAAATAAATAAATAAAGGGATCAACTGCCCTTAAATGGACCTCTGAGAATGGGTAAGACCC